GAATGAAGCCTGCACAGAGCGCATATCAGATAGGCATGCTGCCAAAAATAGACTAAAAAGACACCCATCCATGGCAAACCTGATTGCCTTGAGAAAAGCAGAGGCATTGGTAAAGCGAGAGGTAAAACAAGCCAAAGCTAAATCATTCCAAGAGTTCTGCTCTAAGATGAACAAGGATACTCCTGTGGCTGTGCTCTGGAAGAAGATAGGAAAGCTATCAAACAAAGGTAGAGTTCAACAAGCCTCTCCCATTTTAAGAGGAAATGAGGTAGTCACAGGTCCTGTCAGAAAAGCAAGCATTATTGAAGAGGATTACGCCACCATTATCTCCTCACAAAATGCCCACCTAAATGGCGCTCCTTGCATTTTGCCAATTACATTAGCAATAACAGATGACTCAAATCTCCCATATAACTGTAATTTTTCCCTCTCAGAATTAGATGAATGTATCAAAACCTTAAACAACTCTTCTCCTGGACATGACTATATGCATAACGCAATGCTAAGGCACCTCCCACAGCAATATAAACAGTGGCTACTTAGAATTTTCAACTACAGTTTCCTACACAGTTGCATCCCAAAAATGTGGAAAAAAGCTATAGTTCTTCCCATTCAAAAGCCTGGTAAATCTGCACTTAATCCTAAATCATATCAACCAATTTCATTGCTTCCTTGTATACCAAAATTAATGGAACGCATGGTATGCAACCGACTATGTTTCCAGCTGGAATCAACTAGGGCTGTTAGTCCAACTCAATGTGGTTTTAGACGCCGTCTCTGCACATTGGACCAGGTTGCACAATTAGAAAAATGTGTGAGGGAGACATTTGTGAATCGCCAGGTGTGCATTGCAGTTTTCTTTGACTTGAGCAGTGCATATGACTGTGTATGGCACTTAGGCCTCCTGTACAAATTGCAACAAAAGGGGATCAGGGGGAGGATGCTGGCTTGGATCAGGGAGTATCTGGATGGGTGCTCCTTCAGTGTTCTTTTAGAGGGAGAAATTTCTCCTGCACACATTATCACCAGGGGGGTTCCTCAGGGAGCCATACTATCTCCCACACTTTTCAGTGTCATGCTAGCAGACTTACCTCGTGTTCCAGGAGTGGCACTTGCTGAGTATGCCAATGACATTGCCATTTTCAGTAGGGGACCTGACCTTGGGGTGGTGCAGGCCCGCATCCAGTCCCAAGTAGACCAACTCTTTAGATGGACTCAAACTTGGGGGTTCCAACTAAACCTAGAAAAAACAAAAGGTCTAATGTTTACTCGAAAAAATGTTAATAACCCTCAGGGTAGTATCAATAATTTCAACATAGAATTTCCCAGAACATACAAGTATCTTGGCCTCACTCTAGACTCTCCAGCCTTGGGATGGAGGGACCAAATAATCATTTTAAGTGTGAGCTGCCTTGGGAGGGTCAATGTCATGCAGTCCATATCGGCACATCACTGGGGAGCAGACAGAGAAACATTGCTCAAATTTTACAAGGCAGTAATAAGAAGAAAATAGACTATGGTTCCATGTTCTATGAGACGGCAGCAAGCAGTCATCTGGAAAGACTAGACAAAATTCAAAATAGGTGCCTCAGATTGGCCATCGGGGCAAGAAAAACATCACCAATATCTTCACTAGAGGTTGAGAGCAATGTTCCCCCATTGAAATTTCACCGCCACCTGGTCTGGTTGCGGTACTTCTGCCGGTTGGGGGAGCTACCCCAACACCTGCTAGTCTACTGCGGCCTATCTGATGTGACAGGTTTTGCTGACCGTCCATGGGCAGGAACAATTTTTGCTCCCCATTTTGCACTGCGAGCAAAAGAGATTATGGATAACTTGAATGTGACTTTTGTGGGATGTGCTGCAGATCTACTCTCACCAATTCCACCATGGGTTGATTGCTCCATGCACTACTCACCTTTCTTTGCAGGGCAGCCGGTTGGAGAGATGTCAAGAGTCAGTTGCTCTCAACATTTTTAGAGACCTACAAGATGCAGTTTATAATGGTTTTCTTGAAGTATACACTGATGGTTCAAAGATTCTTGAGCCTGAACCCTCTGCAGCAGCATCAATAGTGGTTCGGGAGGCTAATACATTTCATATGTTTAATCGGAAATTATACCCACAGGAAACAATTCTAAGCTGTGAGCTGTTTGCTATCGCTCAGGCAGTCCTAATGATAAGGGATGGCACTGCAAATGGCAGAGGAGCTGTTATATACACTGACTCTTTATCAAGTTTGAGCTTGTTAACATCCCGCAAACCAACATCACATTTATCATTAGTGTTTAAAATTCACCAAATAATACTTGTTCTTCGAGCTCATTTTCCAGTGGTGATCCAGTTCATCCCGGGCCACAAGAACATTAAGGGAAACGAGATGGCTGACCTGGCAGCCAAAGAAGCCCACTCATTACCTGAGATATCAGCTGAGGCTGTGATGTGCAGCGAGGACAAGGTGAGTGAGATAAGGGTTGCAATCTGGAAGGCGTGGGAAGGAAATTGGAAGCAGAAGGTAGCAACTACTAACACAGGCCAACACCTTAGGAAAATTAGGGATAAAGTGGGATATTGTCCATGGTCATCCATTAAGGAGAGAATTATGTAAACTGCATTAGCAAAATTCAGATTGGGTCATGTAGGCTTGATGGAGCACATGTATAGGTTTAAGCAAGCTAACTCAAATCTTTGTCATTGTGGGAGAGTAAAACCAATTCAACATTTTTTCTCCAGTGTCCAATATTTGCAAATAGTCATACAATTTTGCAGTCTCAGTTGCATTCAATTGGAGTCCCAGTGACCATGAAATGTATACTTGGTGGAGGAGAATATCCCCCAAGATTCAATATGAAATTATGCAATATGTTTCACTCTATCTTGCATCAACTGGAAAATTGAAAGAATTCGAGAGAATGATCATAGAACTAACCATTAACCTAGCTTCAAAAGTACCGTAAAATGGGGTTACTTTGACCGGCGGGGTAACTTTGACCACTTTTCGTTTTTTTAACAAAAACCCCCAAAACTCGTAAATGATTCAACATAGAAAAATTTTGTCAATGGCCATCAAATACTGAGGCTACGTAACACAATAGAAAGATTTAAGAAGTTTGCATATCTAATAGGTTAACAAATTAAAAATGTGACCCATGAAAAAGAGCTATTATTTAAAGCCTGTTGGAATACCCTCTCCAATTTTTTTATTTTTTGGTAAAATAACTCCAGGTTTTGATGCATTGTAGTAGAACTCTTCTAGTTACATATGCAAAAGACAAATTTTAGGAAAGTGTCATAGTTTGCAAATGGGGGAGGCCGCCCCCCAATGGGGTAACTTTGACCACCTAATGGCAGCCGTGATGGGGTAAAATTGACCGGCTTGGAAATTAAGTTAAAATTACCATAGGTACCTATATAACATATTATATGTTTGATGCACCTATTAATGTTTTTTTCTTTATGTTTCAGACTCTACAGAGTCTTATATATGGTAATTTTAACTTAATTTCCAAACCGGTCAATGTTACCCCGTCAAGGCTGCCATTACCAAAAAATAAAGTTGATTTTACCACCCGGTCAAAGAAACCCCAAGAGCTGGGGTAACAAAGACCATCACTTTTTTTGAAATTACATCAAAACTATGAGAGGTAGGAGCCAGCAATTTATGGAGAGTAAAGCTAGAGTATAGACCTGTATTTTGCATGTTTCAATTAGAAGCATATCTATATGTCCTTCTGACAAGTCTTTGGACCATGGATGCATCAACTTGCCCCCATGCTTGGACCTAGTAGTTGTAGAGTGGAAGTAGCAGGGTCCATGGTATGCATACAAATCTTGATCCCTGAACAACACAATAGATGCTCCAGGCTGCACCAGCCCAGGCTGGACCATCTGGCCCTCAAACCCGTTTTTCCAAATGACAAGCCTATTCCTAGGTAAGCGCTACTAACTAGTATACTAACCAATAGACCCATAACTCCCTGCATACCACCTTGGTGACGTCTAATGGTACTTCATGTATCAGGTTTTGGCTTGCCTGCTGAGGGAGCCCTGTTAAGCCGTGAGGTGCATGGACTCCACATCCTCAAAAAAACTGAAAAACGGACGAACGAACGACGACTGTCGAGGGTCATGCTGATCGGCGGTCAGACAAACGTTGGTGAGTTGCCCAATGCCTAGGCAGGGGTGCAGGGCTGGCAGGCTAAGGCAGCCTAGCCTGGCTAGCCATATACCATCCATCCATCCCCACCGTAATACCAGATTATCCAATTGTGAAAATCAATATTTTTTGATACTATGTATATAGGAAAACTTAGGAATCATTCAATAGAATCAGTGAATCACAATTTCAACTATGATAGGGTTGCGGTTGCGCCATAACATTAGCGGCGGAAGGAGAGCAGTGTGTCTTCAGACAAAGGCACCAGCTTTGCCTGTAAGGGACTAGGGAGGCACTGAAAGATCTAATTTGCATCCCTGAGAAGTGAGACATCAAGCTTGCCATCATTAGTTGCATTCTCAGCAATTCCAGGCTCTGCTTTTGGAATTGCAATTGCTGAGGTAACTCAGCTATTTTTATTTTGCTGCTCAGCTTGAAACTTGACTTGAGGTTCAAGTCAAGGACTCAAGGTAAGATCGTAAGAAGGTAAGAACAAACTTAGAACTTAGAAGTGCCTCCCCTCTGCAGCCACAGGCACAGACTACCTAGGCCTAGGTAAAGATAAAGTTAACACCTATACAAAATATCTTCCCATCAAGAAATAAGGATACTAGAGTTTTAGAGTTCATCTGGTTGATTGGTCTCGTGTTTGATTTTTCCTGTTTTTTTATGTTTTTTAGCTAGTTTACTGAAGGAAAGGTAGGAATACTAGATTATCCAAGTCTAGACGAATGTTCTTTCAAATCTACCATATGACTGCCAAACTCATGATTTTGAAGAGTGGGAGTCTGCTATGAAAAACTTACCATCTATTTGGATTTTCCTTTGTAACCTAATTAAAATTTTTATTGCATGTTTCAGAGTATTACAAATTTTTCAGATGTTGGTGTTACTTTGACTGTGCATAGGTGACAGGTGTTCTAACTGTTCATGTTTTTTTCTTGCACCTGTTTCTGGTTCTAAAGTTATAGGTTTTCTGCAATGGAAAATTTAGAAGAATTTTCCAATGTTGGAGATGATTCATCAACCAATTCAGAAAAGGTGCCTGATCCAAAGCTAAAGATGAATGAAAATGAGAATGGGACTTCAGTAGGCTGTCAGTTAACCACTAATAATTTAGGCAATCCTAGTGATGGAAACCATGAATATGAAGAAATTGATGGTATTTACTATTACACAAATCCTACTACTCATGAAAAATTCAAATATGACAACACCATTGAAAAATGGGTGCTGGTACAAGATTGCAAGTCAAGTGGCCAAGAAGACACCACTCCCACCTCTGAAACCACAGACGTTACTTCAGAAAGTGATGTTCATGTGGATGAGGAAGGAAGAACTTTTTATCATGCTGATGGCCATTATTTGTGTCGATACCCTACTGGGCATGTGTATTACATGAATGAAAAGCAAGAGTGGGTTTTGTGGAGTGAAAATGCAGATGGTGGTTACAATGATGGTTTAACTAGCAGTAAAAACAATAATGATAATAGATGGTATTATTACAAAGGAGATAATGCATATTACAGAGATCTTTTATCGAATAAAGTTTTCAAATTCAATAAAGAAACTGATGAATGGATTCTGGCCAAGTCAGGCAAGAAGCGCAAGAAGAAACCTGACATCTCTGTTCCGGTTGGAGGAGAAGAAGAGTTTGACACAGAATCATCCAATGAGGGTACTGATGATGGGTGTGAAAGTGAAGACAATGATGAATATTCTAAGGGAGACATGCCACCTGGTTATAAAACTGACCCAAGTATATCATTTGAGGATGAAAACTTTGTCAAGAAAGATAAAGATGGCATGCACTATGAATGGGACAAGAACAGGAGAGCATGGTTTCCTAAGGTAATATTCATTTTCCTTATTATAATTTCTACAGTTGCATAAGAGTTTTTTTTCTTGTCAAGAGTCAGGAACTGATTAATCTTCTTAGGTTGAGTAAGGCAGGTCAACAATCACTAACACATGTAGTGGCTAATGATTGTTGTAGAGGGAAACTTTCAACCCACAACAATGAATGTGGTACACTGCATCTAGTCCTGTACAGGCTGTTGTTGAAAGAAAAACACTTTTTATGCAAAACTATAAAACTTGTTGTTCAAGAATGGATAGTATGAAGTAAGATGCTCTTTGCCTTGTACAAAATATTGTGGTATTTTCAAAAACTTTCAGGACAGAGCTTGAAGCCTAATGAACCTCTTGATATACTAAAAGTCATTAACTATTAATGATATAAGTTGCCACTATAGGCACATTATAGGTTTTGATTGTGTCTTCTTTCATCTTTCCTTGTCTGATTATAATGGTTATTTTAATGAATTTTCCAAAAATGCATTAGGTACTTCATGTACTGCTAGTCAGCCAACTGAAGTGAATGTGCTCCAACAGATTCCACCATAAATTTAACAAAATGCATGTAAATGCTCAGCTCATATTTTACCTCATGATCGCCATTATCCTGTTTTTTCCCATTTGATTATAATCTTAACTTGACATTCAATTCAATTTCAAATAAAAATTAGAAAAATTTAATTTCTAATAAAACCCTCTGGTGATAAAATCAATTGTGATTGATTATATCTAATATAGCACAAGTGTATGTGGTCTATCCTTTGATGATAACAATGTTTAGACTATTTGAATGAAGCTCCGTTTGGCAGAACAATTATTGTCTTCCCTGAAAATTGTGAATTATTTTTTTCAACTTACACACCGTAGTCTATTAAAAAAGTTCTGTTGTTAGAAATAATGAAGTTCTAGTAGCTGGTGATGCATAATAATATAATTTGGTTTTGGAAATGTTTTTCCTGGTACGGTACCGTACTATATAATTTTCTAGCCAAAATTCACTGAAAAATCTGAGAAATATGTGTTCAAACTGACATTTTGCTTAGAACCCTTTAACAATCATTTAAGAACTAGAAAAAAATTCAATATTTATTTCCTAATAAATTTAATCTGGTTGAATACAAAGAAAATTTTATTTTTGATCAGAAATTTTTGTTTGCTTTGCAAAGCCTGGTGACTCTGCCCCTAGACAAAATTAATCCTATCTTTGGGAAAATATGTACGTATATTTATGTATGGTATGTTGACAAGCTTATCCACACATATACATACTTTCTAAAATATTTAAGTTAAAATTGTAAATATTCACTCAAATTGTATCATAGAAACAATTACCTATATACCTACATTAACAATGGAAGCTGTGTACAAGGCTAATTTTCTATATTTTATGTTGATTTGATTTATTATTAACTATAAATTTGATCCTCAGTTGGACGACACATTCATGGCAACATACCAGATGAGCTACGGCTTCAATCCTGATGGCAGCAAGAATGAAAATCCCGTCAAGTACGATGATGATGAGGAGGATGACATGCAGGAGATTGCTAAAGAGACCTTAAAGAAGAAGAAAGAAGAAGAGAAGAAGAAGAGTGATAAAAAACCTGCAGGTTAGCTTTTTACCTACAGGAAGAACAGAAATTAAACTACCTTATTTGACTCTCAGAATTTCAACAGAAATGGTCTGAATAAAGTTAGATTTCATCAATCTTCATGTGTAGCCAGAATACATCAAACAAGCATTCATTTGTTGTTTTATATAAAATTTTGAGTATATTGTATGTGTGTACTACATAACTGATATTGTATTTACCGTTGTTAAATTCAATCTCACAAGTCAATTCAGGCTACATAACCACAGGCATAAATAATTTGTTGATTAGCAGACAGTTGCGATAGGTATGCAACACTTCATGGCTGTCTAATTTTCTCCGTTCAATTATTTGTTTCCCTTCACTGTGTTGCATGTAAATTAACTGCCTAAAACATAATTTAAGCTGCCTTATCTGTGTAGTTTTGAAGTGGTCTATGGTATATATTATGCAGTTTTTGACATGAAGAATATTCTAACATAAACAATATTATAATAACATTTATTTAGGAAATTTATATTCCAGAGTATCAAGAATAACCTTAACCAATAATCATACAGTTTTGAAAATTTTCCTGGTCATCACAGTATGGAATTTATGTAGCTTGTTGTGTCTGTTTTGCAATTTGTCTTGTGCAAAGCATAGTACCTTTTTAAATGTGCTAAAGCTTGAGCCTTGGTGGGAAGTTGGACTGGCAGGAGTTTTCACTTTAGGTTGCTGCGGCCTAAAGCTTTTTTGCTTGTTGAGAGGATGTTTATGCAAACATTGTATAACTTTGGTCCTTTATTCAGATGAAAATATAAATATTATTTCACAAATTGTACCAAAACAAAAATGTCTCACTAGTTATAATTCTTTTTATCACAATTAGAAGTAATGTAACTGATCCAAATTTGTTTAACGGTGTTACAAATCTTATTCTTGACAATAGTTGTAGTACCACATGTTCATTTGCTCTTACTATATCCTTGACTTGATAATAATCAGATAAAAGTTGCATGATATATTTTTAACATCATAGAAGATATCCAACATGCTTACAATATAATAATTATATCCCGTTTGCAGGTTGGTTTGAAGCTGATGACGCACACAACACAAAGGTTTACGTGTCACAGCTTCCCACGGACATGACAGAGCAGCAGTTCGTGGACCTCATGCAGAAGTGTGGCCTGGTGCTGAAAGATCCTGAGACTGGCGACTACAAAGTCAAGCTTTACAAGGATGAGAAAGGCAACTTCAAGGGAGATGCCTTGTGCACCTACATCAAGGTGAGACTGAGGGCGAGGGATTTATGTGAGGCTGAGGGCAAGCGATTGATGTACCTACATCAAGGTGAGACTGAGGGCAAGGGATTGATGTACCTACATCAAGATTTAGGGCGATGTTGTATGCATGTATGTATGTAGAAAAATAACTAAAGAAAGATATCTTGGGTCATCCGTGTTCAAGTAACTCGGTTTATCTTCAGCTTTACGGTTGATATTTCTATACTGACAGTTTTTTTCTCATCTTTCTCTTAAAATTTTGCAGCAAAATGTGTGTAACAAATTGTGTAGTACTACATTTATTGGATCTATCAATTTAAGATACCGGCTGCTTAATCTAAATAATATATTATAGTATTTCTAAATTAATAATTTGTTTTCTTTAACTACGAGGTATACCTGAGCTTTAATACTAATTTTGAACTTAACTAAAATAAGCATCTAAAGTCATTGCTCCTTACGGATGGAGAGCTTGCTTCTTCTCTGCAAGCTGATAACGTAGGTTCTATACGGTATTTGCGTTGTTGCTGCTGCTGTTGTTGCTGTTGCTCCTGATGATGTTGCCGTTATTGTTGCTCCGGTTATTGTTGCTGTTGTTTTTGCTGTTTTTGCTCCGTTCTTGTTGCTGTTGTTGTTGTTGTTGCTCCTTCCTGATGTTGCAGTTATTGTTGCTGCTGTTGCTCCTGTTATTTTTACTGTTATTGTTGCTGTTGTTGCTCCTGTTCTTGCTGCTAATGTTGTTGCTGTGGTCCGTCACGTCAAGAAGCCCGCGTTACGACGTAAGGTCAGCACGCGTATTTGCTCTAGCCCAAGTTGTGGCATTGCAGGATGAACTGTTCATGTTTATAGTGGATGTTCGTATATTTTTATGTGATGCTTATATCTGAAGGACGTGTCTTGTGAGTGCCTCAGTAAGTGACGTGTCTTGTGAGTGCCTCAGTAAGTGACATGTCTTGTGAGTGTCTCAGTAAGTGACGTGTCTTGTGAGTGCCTCAGTAAGTGACGTGTCTTGTGAGTGCCTCAGTAAGTGACATGTCTTGTGAGTGCCTCAGTAAGTGACGTGTCTTGTGAGTGTCTCAGTAAGGGACATGTCTTGTGAGTGCCTCAGTAAGTGACATGTCTTGTGAGTGCCTCAGTAAGTTTTCTCTGTATGCGTTGTTCACTTCACACTGGTCTAGGCATCCTAGTGAAGGGTGCCTCGCATATGTAGTGCATGGTGTGCGTGCACTGCGTACGCTGCCAGCGGTAGTAGAGTTCAGGCGCCATATACGCACACTGCCACCGCCTGCTCTGCGTAGCCTCCTTCAGGAAACCGCGGTAGTGCATCACATCTCCTGCCATACCAAAACATCATTATTTAGATAAAAAACTTATTTTTTAATATATTATTTCATTATTAGGACACCAGATGAATTTGTACTATAGTGGATATTAGTATACGTCGTAGGTACGAATGGCTCGTGACTGTAAAGCTATTTTGCGAATCTCCTAATTTTATTGAGGTTAAAGTTGATGATACACGGTGTTATAGTTGAAGTATTTAAATATGTGAGGCTACTAAGGTTGCACTCCAAAAATTGAAGCGTCAGAGCGAGGAAGATTCAGGTTACTAATGCATTTGCTACGACACTAATTATCATGATATGCTGAGTAAGACTAATGTGTGATAAATAGAGATAAAAATATTAGGTTCGATTAAGTCCGGGAAACTAAAATATGAAAGCTATTGGTTGGTGAATTTAATAATGTTTAGCTGTGATCCTTAATTTGATTTATTTTTTGTTTATAAGTGGTTTTATTTATATGAAATAATAAGTTTTGTTTATATGGATTGAATAATTTCATATTAATTTATCTAATTAATACATGAATTAGACTGAAGGTCTTCAATATCAAGCCCTTACCTGAGCCGCCCCACACCCACTCCTCCTGACTCCAGTCATATATGCCACCGATCCAGCGGTTCAAGCGCGCTGTAAAACAACCGTAATAAAAATTCCTTTTTATACAAACCAATTAAATATATTCTATAAATTAAGATATGCTTGCTTTTTCAGAAATACCAGTAGTATCGTGTACAGCATTTGTAAGTGATTAAGTAAACAGTTCTTTACCAAAAAAGCATAAAGCTATCTCGAAAATATATCCAGTTTATTTCAAGTATTATCGCGGTATACACGCACTCATGGCATGCATGCTGAGATGTCGTCGCATGAGTCCGTCCTCCCACGCGGTCTCGATGGCCATCAGTTGGCTGTCCTTCGCTCGGCACTCGAAGTGAGCGATGGTCCACGTGGCCATTTCTTTACTGAAATAATAACAACCATTGCCAAGACGTAAGAAATCTGGTGGACAAGCGTACTGGAAAATAGAAGTGTAAACTGTAGTAGGAGTTCTGTGCCGGGGTCTGCTGCTAACTGTTGTCGGGGTATCGAACTTTGATGATGTTGAAATATTTTCTTCTAGCGTGGATGATTCCGATGTGGGATCGAAACTTGGGGCTGATGTTGAACTCACGCTGGAAGTCGGTGGAGTTGCACTAACCGCGTCATCGGTGTAGGTTTGATGATGCAAATTGATTTCGGTCGAGTTGTTTCCTGATGATAGTAGAAAACATTAGTTAGGTTATCAAATTGATTTTAAGTCTGTAGATTTATTTACATTTATATTCGTATGTTATGATAAATTAGGCGTCATCGGAAGGTGCAAAGTGATTACGCAAAATTTCCAAGTACTGAACTTGATGTAGTAAAGAAAATGTAATGTAGTTAACTTCTAACAATATTTGATGTAGTTTATAATAATGACATGAAGATTTTTTTCAGATCATGTGATTGCTACTTGTGATATTTATAGAAGCCCTCATCCTTCGTAACACGATTCGTCCTATAACTAATACTTCTGAGGAATTTCACAAGGTTAAATACAATACAATAATAACCCTTTTACTCAATGCGCCACAATTTCCAGTCGGCTTTGGTTCAAGTGCACGTAGTACAATATTTATTAGTATGCTTATTATCACTTATGCATCATGAAATGTAAATTAATCGGAAAATGTAAACTAATATTATCACTTTATACATCATGAAATGTAAAGTAATCGAAAAATGTAAATTGATATTACGGGATCACTTATGCATCATAAAATGTAAATTAATCGAAGACTATTTACTTGGGATCCGATTTACTTACCTGATGTAGCCGCGCTCAGGAGTAACGCAGTCAACAGCAACCTCAACGTTACTGTATGGAACTTCATGCTTACTTTGACGTATCTGTACTCAAATATTGTTTTTAGTTATTTGTATTCAATATTATTACTAAACAAATAGTTGTTTGATGTGTTGATTGTCAAATGACTTGAAAATAGATTCTTGTTATTGTTCTTCTGTTGTAGGCTAATATTGTGTGATCGTCGTTAAGTAGTTAATTGGTCCCTAATATAGATATTGAAACGCAGATATAAAAGCCGAATCATGTGCTTCTGTCAGTGTAAAAACTACAATCTCGAATTAAAGTTTAATAGAAAAAGACTAACTACCTTGTATCATTGAAATTTAAGTAGGAATCTGATTCAACTTCTAGGCAATAAAATAGTTTCCTCGACTTGAAGGATTCTCAAACGCCTTTTAATCGTAGCCATGGAATTTGAACAAATACTGAGACTGATAGGTTTTGTTTAACTTGAAAATAAGCCCCGGAGCGTGATGCTCTCACGACGACGTCTAGAGTAACACTGAGGGTGCGGGGCCCTGTGCTATGACCCGTACCCTCAGATGCTGTATTAAACTGTGACGTCTACTGCACTCGAACATTCTTGTATTTACTACTGGGCTGACATATGTCGTGTTTATCGTACTGGCGTTTTAATTTTACTGTTTTTTAATTTAATATTTGGTATAATAGGTGCTACGTAAGTCGGATTTATTGTACTGGTGTTTTAATTCATATTTGGTATAATAGGTGCTACATAAGTCGTTTTTATTGTACTGTTCTTTTAATTCATATTTGATATGATACGTTGAGGTACTACTAGTTAGGTTAGAATGATAAGGAATTGGTCATCTCTGTCGCATATCGACGAAATAAGTCATGTCCTACTAAACAGCATAAAATTGAAATGCAGTTCATTCGATTTGAAAATTTTTTTACCATCTCTACGAAGGTGATTTATTTTCTTCATCTTGATGAGGCTTTAATTTGTAATTAAAGTAAAAACCGTCGAACTTTCATGAAAGGTAGTTCTGCGGACATCAAAAAGCGCGTGCAAGTGCTTATTCGCAACCTTTACCGATCACTGACAAAACAAAATAATTTCACTGTAACTTTAGGAATAAACGAGACGTACGAAGCAACGTATAGCCTCGTAGCTGCGGTAGANTCTGTCTCTTATACACATCTAGATGTGTATAAGAGACAGGGTGTATGTTGCGGGGCATTGGTGAATGTTGCGGGGCATTGGTGAATGTTGCAGGGCGTTGGTGAATGTTGCGCGGCATTGGTGTATGTTGCGGGGCATTTGTAAATGTTGCGGGGCATTAGTGAATGTTGCTGGGGCCTCGTAAACGTTTCGGGGCATTAGTGAATGATATGTTGTGTGGTGAATGTTGCTGGGCATTGGTGAATATTATCGGCCTTGATGAATGTTGTTGTAGTTGGTGAATGTTGCTGGAACGGTGAATGTTGCTTGGGCTTTAGTGAACGTTATGTAGTAAATGTGATTAATGTTGCGGGGTTTGGTGAATGTTGTCGGCCTTGGTGAATGATGCTGAGCGTGATGAATGTTGCTGGGCTCATTGCTGTGTTGTCGCATGATGCGTCGTGGCGCGCGGCAGAGCCTCATCGTCCAATTTGGCAGCATTGAATGACTGCATAATTGTCGGTCTGTGAAAATAAATTGCATGTTCAGTAACTCGTATGCTCAATACTCAACATGAGCATCTCCAAAGCATGTCAGTCATTCAATTTTGTAATATTAATAACTGATATTCCTGCAGCATAGAAGTTATGCATCATCCCTGAGTAAGCCAGTAATTCCTCCTCTTTTCATGCCTGCATCTCGCTCGTGGACTGAAGTACACTTCATTGCCAGTGTGTACAAACATACCGATTTAATGCCGAGTTTATCGCTGTAGATTAGTTATGCTGTGGAATAGTTATGAAGTAAGCTTCTGTTTGTGCGATGTCATCTCGCAGTAATGCGGTTTGCGTGCCGCACTCTGCTATTATAGGTCCCCTCGTTCTAAAGGCTGGTCTGTGCGAGTCCTTTTCACTGCCATGTAATTTCCGGTTACTTGACCTAGTGCAGACAAGCCTGTTTACTTCTAGGAATATGGTCGCAAGGATTTATTTGTACTACAATTTTCTTATCGTATGCACTTCTACTTGTACGAAGATAGTTCTAGTACTGATGTCACTGTCCGACAGGACCACCGTATCTAATTTATCTTTTTATGAATATTGTAAGCTTATTCTCATTTGTCACAAAATTATTTTTTTTTACTTCCAATCATTTATGGCATTCTTTGTTAAGCAGAGAAACAGTCGTTCGTAAGGGGAAGGAAAATATATTGATAGTGTTTATTAAATTCACTTAAATTAAAATCTCATTCGAATGCGTTTTGATAAAACGCTACAGTAGACATTGTCTTGACGGAACTTTACTAAATTGGCAGCGAAATGTTATAGTAGTTGTTATCTGGTCCCCGCAGTTTTTTGATTGTGTGAAAATATTTCGCCATTCACGAATAGTCTTTGAATCAATTGAAAGGAATAGCCTTCATCTCGGTTGATACGAATAGTCTTTGAATCAATTGGTACGAGAATAGCCTTTATCTCGATTGATACGAATAGTCTTTGATATATCAGATAACATTTTTTGATTTATCAGAGCGAATGTCTTATCTTGCGTGTCAGTAAAGGCCGCTAGTTTTTGTGATGGACGCACGATGTTAACTTCTCCCGTCTCACTGCTATATCACTCTTGTTATCTCGTATAAATGTGTCTCCATGAATATTGTATGGGTAATTTATAGTCCTTCAATCGGTTTAATTAAAACGACATTGTTTTATCTGAAGCGACATATGTATTTTTGGATCAATTTTTTTTAAGTTTCCAGCAAAACTGACATTAAGTTCTGACATTTTCAGGCTTAAGTCTCAGCTCAGGTTTATTTTTAAAAATTTTGAACCTATTCCAAAATCCAGGTCTAATTTTTTCAGCGTTTGTTCATCGGTCAAAATTTAAAATTTCTCTCTCGCGGGTGGCTTAGATTTTTCTGCAGTACTTGAGTTTATGTTCTCAAAAAGTTATCTTCCCATGAGCCTAATATCTAATTACTGGCGTTTGTAAAGCAATAATTAGCTTAATGTTTCCGTGTATGTCAGGTCGAGTCTGTTTTACTGGCATGAGCCTAAATATCTAATAGCTACTGGAATTTTTATAGCAATAATTAGCTTAATGTTTCTGTGTGTGTCAGGTCGAGTCTGTTTTACTGGCGCTGAAAATCATCGAAGATACTTGGGATTATGTTCTCAAAAAGTTATGTTGCTATGCGCCTAATATATAATCATTACTGGCGTTTGTAAAGCAATAATCAGCTTAATGTTTCAGTGTGTGTCAGTCGAGTCTGTTTTACTGGCGTGAGCCTAATATCTAATAGTTACTGAAATTTTTATAGCAAGCTACTGGAATTTTCAAAGCAATAATTAGCTTAATTTCTCCGTGTGTCTGATATTAGGCTCATGGTCGAGTCTGTTTTACTGGCATGAGCCTAATATCTAATAGCTACTGGAATTTTTATAGCAAGCTACTGGAATTTTAATAGCAAGGTACTTTAATTTTAATGGCAAGCTACTGGAATTTGTATAGCAATAATTAGCTTAATGTCTCCGTGTGTGTCAGGTCGAGTCTGTTCTGCTGGCGCTGCAAATCATCGACGGTTCTTGCTTGGGTCCCCGCGGCGCCCACCGCGTCAAGGTGGAGCGCGCCAAGTTCCAGATGAAGGGCGACTACAACGCCGCCCTCAAACCCAAGAAAAAGAAGAAGAAACTCATCGAGAAACTGCAGAAGAAACAAGAGAAGTAAGCGTCATTTATTAATTTATAGCGCATTTTCTCATTTATGGAAAAAATGCACTATTGTGCTCGCCATGTCCGTCTGTCTGTCTGTCCGTCCGTCCGTGACCTCAAGTTTTCGTCGACGAGAAAATGCGCTCTCTGTCACTCACTGCAGTGAGTACTGAGTTATATTTTTTAATAGTTACTTCCTGACTTTGATGACATGGCTGGATTGTTTGTTTTCTTGCACAAGTGATTGAGATAGCGGACATATTTAATGTCTTGTAGGAGAACGCAATCCAAATTGTCCTCAATATACTAAAATTTACGAATAACCTACCAGGTTTTTTGCAAGCTGTCGTAAAAATAAATAAAATTGAGGATAAAAATTCAACAATGTTGAACAATTTTTTATTATATGTTAGTGCAATGAAATCAACGAGTCAATATAACCAAAGGAAACACTGTTATTATTCTGCGATTTGAGTGACGTATCGTCATGAATATCAGTACAACTATTGAGAATAGTAATAATATTAGTAATAGTAGTTAATATTACTAACGATATTTCATTCATTCATTCATTAAAATGATATCAAACGAAATGAAATAGAATCACCTCCTCCGATGATTTTCCAATTTCATGGCTTGAAATGATATATACTGAACATAATCAAACCAATCGAGTCCTGTTTTTCGTTTTAATATTAGGTTTTGTTTAAGTTTTATGTCTGACTAAGAATTTTGACTTATAAAATTATTTTATTCATTTTAGTTTGTCAAACTGATGATGGAGCTGGACTCCGTAACGTTTTCAATATCGATATGGTGAATTTTCTTGGCGTTTTCTTTGCTTTTAAATTCCTTGTGAACTTGCGATAAAAGCAGACTGATAATATAAGTACTTATAATCAAACCCGCAATGTGCAGGCTGTTCGCATGGACGCCTGAGCCGCTGCGAGGTCAGCGCGGCAAGCACGAGAACGTCGTGGTGCTGCGCAACGCGTTCGCCCCCAGCGAGTTCGTGGACCACGCCGAGAAGATCCTCAGCCACACCGAGAGTCTGCGCGCCCAGTGCACCAGCTTTGGATCAGTCAAGAAGCTCGAGTTGTTCGATGTGAGGCGCCCGGCTGCTGGGGTTAATTCTGGAGACATACTTTCGAAACTTGATACGAACATTCTTTGAATTATTTGAATTATGAGCGGAGTAAGCGGCGAATACATATGTAGCGGCCTAAGTACACGTAACGGCTCAAGTACCGTACGCGTGTAGCGGTCTAGGTATACGTAGCAGCCAATTTTTTGTCTGTGATTGCTGGGGTTTGCTTTAAATGGCCTCAGGATTTTGCTAACGAAGTTACAAAATTATAACTATTATAGATAGTACCGCCCTTGGACTATAATGTATCTCTGTTGTTGTTGTTGTTGTTTGTTGTACCAACGTCTCGCTCTCACGGGGGGAGGCTCCAGGGAGGCCGAGGAAGGGATACCGGAAGAGGGGGAGATGAGCGAGGGCAGGGAGGGTAGACAGGAACGCTGCCGCTACGGGACTGTCCCACAATGAGGAGACGCTGAGGGACGTGGGGAAGGAGGGGCAGACGAAGAGATGCTGGTCGTGCTGGAGGGGGTCCCCGTACTCGGAGTAGGAGGCACTGGGGAAGCGTCCGACCCTGAAGGTGTAGGTCGCCAGAGAACTGCAGTAGCCCGAACGGAGCTGAGGTAGCGCCGATCTGTTATGGCGAGCGAGCGAGGCTTCTTCCGGCGCAATCGGTGGGGTGGGGTCGCAAGAACGGCGTTGTTTTCGGCGGCCGCCGCGACGCGGGAAGTGATCTCCCTGCGTAGGGAGCACTTAACTTTTTCGCTTAATAGGTGCCGGCAGGTAGATGCCGTTCGCCAGGAAGGGCGCAACAAAGTGGCTGAATCTTGACGTAAGGGAGGCTTTCAAGGGACGGGCCCCGGCGGAAGCAGAGACGATGTAGAATAAGGTGTGGGTGGGCTGGAGGGCGCTAGCGAGGAACTGAGCGCAAGCCAGGTCCAGGTGATCAGGTACGGGAAGGACGCCAGTCTCATGGTGGAGATGGGCAAGTGGGGCCATCTTGTGGCAGCCGGTGGCCAATCTCAAAGCTGTGCTTTGGATAGTTTTGGAGCCAGCGTAGTTGAGGATTGGGCAGGTGATTGTCCGATAGGTGGTGATGATGTCCTCTTTGGTAAAACCCCAGTTAGTGCCAGCCAGGGCTTTCAAGATTCGTTGGGAGCCCGTCGCTTTAGTGGCTATGGCTCTGACGTGAGGTGGAAACGTGTAAAAGGTGTCCCATTTGACACCTAGGATTCTGGGGGGTTGTGCCATGATGACGATATTCTGTGCCATGATGATTATGCAATGGTTGGTTATTGTTCACTTCATGTTTTATTTCAATTAGAAATAAGTTTTATAAATATTTTTATGCAATAGATTCACAATTTGATTATGTGTTGCTTGTAAAGTGATGATATACTGACTTGTACTTCCTTGTGTACAGAGACACCCAGAAGGCGTGGTGAAGGTAACGTTCAGTGAGGTGGAGGCCGCTGATCTCTGCATTGCGTCTATGAACAAGAGGCTCTACAACGGTCGGACGCTCAGCGTCGCTGTGTGGAACGGTGTTGAGAATTTCAAGTATGTGCATCATCAGTTCTTGTGCATTGTATGTTGTATTTGTGCATTGTTCTTTATTTATGAGCATAAACCAACATGTGGCTACTTTATTTTATTTGGCAATTAGCAGGAGCTTAGCTGCTAGTGGGAAGCAACTACACGACAACAATTATTTGCGGCTGTATTTTTGCCAGAATTAAACTGCTTAAATTTTTAAAAACAGAACGCAGAAACAACAGATCTTGGAATAGAAAAGTTCGTTATAATAGTTTAAAATGAGATATTACCCAAGTATGCTTAATAAATATTTTTTCTGGTAATAGAATTTGTATAAATAACTTTGATGTACGGTATTAATCATTTAAATTCTCGATATTTCTATTCTTTCTCTTTAGACCAAGTTTTTTCATTAGTTTCATGTACATGATTTATATACCTCGTCAATGACTTAATTTTTTAGAAGCTACAATTAAATAGGGACATATCATTAGGGTTAATCACAAATATAGTTGATAATTAATACGTCTGTTTGCTTCTTTAGGGTGGAAGAAACCGAAGAAGAAAAAGCTGAGCGGCTCAAGAAATGGAATGAGTTCCTCATGACAGGTGGTGAGGGTGGGAAAAATTCTGCTAAGACTGGCGAAAAAAATAATTACATTACGAATTCCTCTACAATAAAAGATATTCATAGTCCTAGTGAACCGGAAGAAACTTCTATTTCATCGGAAGAGGGAACTCTCCTTCTCCATGAAGAGGGAGAAGGAAGTCTCCCTCCCCTTGAAAGTAAAGAAAAAAGTTGTCGCACCCTTGAAGAAAAGGACTCCACTGATCCCGCAACCAAGATGGAAGATTCCCAATCCCCTGAATAAAATATGATATAAGGGAAAGATAATTTGGCTTTGCTTAAGATTAAATTAAAGTATCAGCTGAAGACTTGGGTGCTGAGGAGGACATTTCTTGTCCAGAAAAAATGGTTGTCATGGAAATGAAACTCCCGACATGTCGATATTTTACCTATATCTGCTCCTGTGGAGCTTTACTTCAAATTGATAAAAATAATAAATAAATAAAAATAATAAATAATCAGATATGTGCACTTTATCTGAATATCATTAATTCAATTTATTTAATATAAATATGTAGATGATAAATATCATCCAAATTATTCATTGAAGTTAGCTAGAATTTGAAGTTAGCTCAAGAGTTTGCTCGCGTCCACGCTGACACTGTACCTATTACTCAATATTACGAGCCTTATGGAGCAGTCGGTGAACGCAGCGTCGAGTTCAAACTGCCTCATGGGCTTATATTTCTTGTTCGAGCTTCCTTTTGGTGTTGGCATCCTACGTCTGGCTACACACTTCACCTACCCAAACTCCACACTCATCGAGCACGCTGTCTCCACTTGATCTTGACATGAACTCCATTTTGTTTGCAATATTGTGTAAACGTGAATAAATATCTACATTTTTAATCATCGAACGGTTTATTATTAATTTCTGCCTACTGGTTTTTTAGGATCTATACAGGAATTGATAAATTTTTCTCCAATATCAAATGATTGTTTTCTTACTGACAATTTTAATTCATAATACGTGTTCATGATTTGTTAACTCACAGTTCACACTACGTGTTCAGAGAGCATAAATACCACAATTTCGTGTCAATTTAAATGTATAGAAGTTACTCATGGAGTAAGCACTAATGTGCGGAAGTGTGCTTCGGCGATAATTAAAATTAATGCTTCGACCGCTCCAATGATTAAACTTTATGATAAACAATAAAATTAGGTGCGAATATTCGCTAATTTCATCGCTGTTTAAATGAGTACGCAGTTCACGCCTCTTCGGTAGAAAGGGTACGCACACAGTGGAAGAAGGTTGCCAGCGTGCTGGTTACCTGCTCAGGCTGGCGCCTGAGACCATAGAATACAGAAGCCTATTCGTACAGGTTTTCACTGTGAACACTTACATTATTATCCTATGTTCATTCTTGTGGCAGGTTGGAGCAGGTTGCCCGCGCGGGCAAACCTGCTTCCACTGTGTGCGTACCCAAAGAATGCAGTCATGAATCTGACAACCAGATACCAGCAAGGCGGGAAGGTTTACCGCAAACCGTAGTGAAGTCACGCGTTTCACGACCATTAGGATGCATAAGTTTTCTTCCTTATAACAGTTGATATTCAAAGTTGACAAATTTTTCTTTGTGTTGGTGATTTAAAAAAAATGGAATAGCATTCCAAATTTCAGACTTGTATATTTATTAAGGTGTGACTTATAGTTTGAAGAAATAGTCAGGAAACCTCATAGGACTGGACGCGGCCGCGATTATTAATGTAAGGGAGAAAATGTACAGAGGCTGTTATCACTACTAATATCTTTAAATATGTGTAACTTGAAATTTATGATATGAATCTTAATTCCAAAGCCTCCGTTATCGCTCACGATCGCTCCCGACATCTCTTCATAAAATGAAATGTGTTATGTGCCTAAGGATTTGTTCACTTTGTTGAGAATGAATTTCATTTAATTTTGTGTATTATAGTTTTTAATTTAAATTTGTACCCCCATCTTTTGATTTAGTGTGCATTTAGTAACAATATATACATGCAATCATCGCTCATGTGTATTCTTGCCTTTTGTTCTCATATTTATTTCTTACTTGCGATTTTACTAATGTAGTTTTTATTATATACCGTCCTGTGTGACAGCATTTTGAGGAAGACACTTTAAACCTTTGTTCTGCGGGAAATGCTGTAAGCTTTATAAGTAGACGGGTCGATGGTTGTTAGGACTATTGGCTATCTCCATTTGCTGCGGCCGTCATTGTATTTTTAGCTCGCCTGACGCTAATATTATTCAGCATATCATTTTTATTTGTCAGCATACTTGAAAAATGATAATAAAGGAACGACGTCAGTGTTCTTCCCTCGTTTCTTATAGATCCCTCGTCCCATTATAGACCAAGTTATGTTGTGCGCGAAAGCACGTAGCAGGAGAATGGCAGGAAATAAAGATTACAATTACAATTGTCCATAGCAATGATTGAAAAGCCTAATGACTAATAAAAATAAAGAGAGAGTAATGATTGAAAAGTCTAGTGTTGAAAGAGATTTGGGAGTTTATGTCGACAAGGAGCTGAATTTTCTGAGCATGTTGAAACGCAAGCAAAGATATCCAACAAACTTCTTAGGCCGATCAGACGCTCTTACGAGTTCCTAGATCAGTAGATGCAGAAGCGATGAAGCTGTTTGTTGCTGTCGTCTGGTTACCGAGACTTGAAAAGGGCAAAAACTTAATAGAGAGTGTTCAAACATGTTCAACAATGATTATTCCAGGCTTGAAGGGCAAGTCCTATGACGAAAGATTATGAATCTTCCAAGCCTCTGTTATCGACGTCTGCGTGGGGACCTAATTGAAGTGTACAAGTAAACTCATGGTTTATACAAAGTCTCAGAAGGATTACTATAATTTGAAACAAGAACCAACTCCTGGGGCCAAGGTTATAAACTAAAGAAACTGCGTTGCAACTCATCCACGCGACAACATATCTTCTCGCTTCGAATCACCGACATGTCGAACAGCCTCCCCGATTACATCGTTGACGCTCCGAGTATAAGCGCGTTCAAGAACAGACTAGATAAAGCTATGGGAAAATATATGTTCAGACTTGAAATGCCACCACCATATCAAACCTGTTGGAAGTCTAGTAGCTATTTCAAACTCTCGTCAGTTTTGAAAAGATCCGGTTGAAGGACCTGTTTGTAAGATCTCCATTGGACAAGTCCCGAAAAGTCCTATAGAATCAGCGACAGGCCACATCAGGCCTAAAACTTCAGCGCCGACATCACTATGTTATGTTATGGCTAACTAAATTCAAATTTCATACTCTTGATTATATGAATTTTCATTTAGCGCTATCATTATCATTGTTTCTATGTTGTCCGTTGAAAGATGCAGTTAGGAAGTTCATGATTCATGATGCATCAGTGCATTTAATTTGCGTTATTAACTCGTATGATCCTCCCATACCCATCGATTCCTTCAAATTCATGAAAATTCTTGAATTTTACATCTATTTTTCAACTGCATATGAGACCGAGTTGAAGTTTCCTCAGATGACGGTTGTTGGAGGAGAATTTTTAAAGCTGAGTCACATTGCTTGACCTTGAAATTAGAGGAGTCGCAATCAGTGATAAAACTTTCAAGTGAATTACCAATGATAGTAAATAAAATATAATATTTTCTAAGTTCTACTGTTTTCTAATTGTACTTTCTGCGTTTTATAAGACAAATTATAAATACGTTGTGACAGTTTCTAGGCCTTAGCCGTCGTCTGCTAAGAGTATATAATAGTCACCGACCAATCTCAGTCGCTTATTGGCAGGAAGAATTTTCACAGTGAGGTAAGATCTTGTCGTTCGCCGAATGTATCATTATAATAAATAATGTGTAAATTTCTTGGATCAAAATAGTGCCCTTAAAATCGTGCAATATTATCTGTACTATATATGATCAAATTTCCGTGCCTATTTAAAATTGTTTTCTATTGCAATTATTGTTGACACTAGTTCTCTGACTGTTGCACACATCATGATTAGATTGTTGAACTTAATACTAAATAGATTACGAATTCAAATGTATTCAATGATAAAAAAAATTCCTGAAATTATCAGTACACTTTGAAATAGCATTTATCGAAGTCGCTAATTTTGAAAAAGGTTATCGCGTCTCAAATCGATTTTGTGCTTTGTTGTCCGAAAACTTGGCCGCTTGGCTTTGGTTTCGACATCAACAGGACTCTGGAAGTTAATTCACTCATGATCAAGAATATAGTCATGATCTAGATATGATAATATTTTATCTTGTATGAACTATATTCCATAGTTTACTTAGACTAATGTTTTCTATATTTTCATTGAGAGTGTAAATGTCAAGGTGACCTTCAAACTCTCGAGTTGGCTGTGGCTCTCACCTTGGTTGCGTGCGTGCCGCCGGTAGGGAGTGAGTGCCGGGCAAGATATATGTTCTTTATACGCAATTCAACATAACTATCTGCTAAAACATTATAGGTTCAGAGTGGTTCTTCTAATTGAATTTTTCGCGCCATAATTTGTAACTGTGAAAACCTGATATGTCAAATATTCGCTAAGTGTACCATTATTGTTAAAATACGACCTGAATTTCCTCGGTTGTTTATTTGAACCAAGTTGACACTAGACAACAATCTAGTTATTCTAGTAGCCTATGTTAGCCACACCCTAAACCTGTCTCAACCGCCTTATCACTTCAGTTCAAGAACTACATTATGGTTCCAATGTATGCTGAATATATTATATGTTTTTAGTATTTTTTGAGTTGTTTTTGGAATGTTGAAAAAAAAAATAATCGCAGCATTCATGTTGTTAGTTAGGTTTTCTGCTGAACTAGCCCTAGGTATTTGTGATTTTTTTGACATAGGCTACTACCTAGCCTACCTGTAATGGTAAATTTCAAATTCAGTTGAATTTTAAAGACTTGAATTTTGTTATGTGAACTGTGAACATTAACTGAATTTATCTCTTGAGTCTTGATTAAAATCTAGCTAGGCTATTTGCTATTGCTATTAGAAATGACTTGAACTTGATGGACATTTGATTATAGGTGAATAGCTGTTAGAAACTTCTACTAGGCAACTATAGTACCGTAAAATGGGGTAACTTAGACCACTTTTATTTTTATAAATGATGCCATTTTTTTACTAGCTAAATTAAACTTGAATTGAAACATGCAAAATACAGGTATACTCTAGCTTCACTCACCATAAACATAAATTGCTGGCTCCTGCCTCTCATAGTCTTTATGTAATTTCCAAAAAAGTGGTGGTCTTTGTTACCCCAGCTCTTGGGGTAACTTAGACCGGGTGTTAAAATCAATTATATTTTTTGGTAAAATAACTCCAAAATCCAAATAACTCCAGGTTTTGGTGCATTGTAGTAGAACTCTTCTAGTTACATATGCAAATGACAAACTTGAGGAAAGTGTCATAGTTTGCAAATGGGGGGCGCTGCCCCATAATGAGGGAAATGTGACTGCCTAATGGCAGCCCTGATGGGGTAATATTGACTGGCTTGGAAATTAAGTTAAAATTACCATATATAAGACTCTGTAGAGTCTGAAACATAAAGAAAAAACATAAATAGGCTGTCAAACCTAAAATATGTTGTATATGGTAATTTTATATTAACTTCCAAGCCGGTCTATGTTACCCCGTCAGGGCTGACATAAGGTTGTCTAAGTTACCCCATTTGGGGGCGGCGCCCCCCATTTGCAAACTATGACACTTTCCTAAAATTTGTCATTTGCATATGTAACTAGAAGAGTTCTACTACAATGCATCAAAACCTGGAGTTATTTAACCAAAAAATAAAAAAATTGGAGGGGGTACTCTGACAGGATTTAAATAATAGCTTTTTTTCGTGGGTCACATTTTTAATTTTTTAACCTATTAGATATGCAAACTTTTCAAATCTTTCTATTGTGTTATGTAGCCTCAGTATTAGGCCTTTAATGCCCATTGACAAAATTTTTCTATGTCAAATAGTTTTTGAGTTGTGGGGGTTTTTGTTAAAAAAATGAAAAGTCTAAGTTACCCCGCCGGTCTAAGTTACCCCATTTTACGGTATACCTATATATATTATACTAGGGTAAATGCGGTAGGGTAAACGCGGTATATTCCGACACATTAAGGACGCATCGAGAAATGAAAAACTATAAAAAAAACCGTATGCGTTACATAAGTTCTGTTGCCTTCACATGACTCTCAAAACACTGGGCCATCTAGCGGGAAAATGTTGAGATCCAAAGAGAGACAGTGCATGCCACCCAATGAGATCATCGAAAAATGTGTCAAAGTTGACAGCTGACCTTGCTCTACCTAATAGTGATAAACTGTTTGTGTAGAAAGAATATTATGGTTTGAGACTTTTAAATACGTACGTCTGTGAATATATTAGGAATCCTTTGAGTATACTTGTATTTGCTGATATCAAGTGGTAAATAAATTAAGATGATTAAGTTGAGAAATGGATTTAGACACATAAAAACTAATTCCGACACAACTTGAATTGGACACACACAGCTTGTTCCAAGCTGTGTGCAAGAATTAAAATTTTCTTGATTAAAAGCTTAATAACTGTTAATTAGAAGCCTAATTGAGTAGTGCTCAATATTCAATAGTGTTCTAATTCAAAGCCGTGTTGTATTCCAATACAGCTTACACAGCGATCGGAATTCGAACATGTGGATGTCAGAATTACGTATTAGTACAATTTGAAGCTCGGTCTGAATATGTCTCACCACATGCTGAATATAGTCACACACAGTGTCAGAATATAGGGATTTGGTAGGTTTGCATTCTAAAGGCTTTTAAATAAATATGACAACATTTTGTGACGTTTCATCGTTGCTGGCGCGTCATGCGGTGTTTTGAGAGTCATGTAAAGCAAACAGAACTTGAGTAACCCATACGGTTATTTTTTATAGTTTTTCATTTCTCGCTGCATCCTTAATGTGTCGGAATATACCACGATTACCCTAGTATATATATCTTTCACTTAATTTTGACTTTTGAGTCAAATTGAATTAATGAACTGAAGTGTGAAATAGCTATTTCAATCATTCACTATGAATCATTGTGGCTAAATCCTCTTTTTTTTTTGTTAATTTTGAAATTTATGGCTTGATTGTTCATTTTGTTTACAATTAGCATGTTGGTTCCAAACAGTTCAATCTGAAAAATTTGAAAAAAATCTTGCAGGCATAAACTTGTTAATGAGATTTTTTTGGGGGAAATTACAGGCAATAATATCTTTTTTTTTTTTAGATGAAAGAAATTAAGCTAAAGCCATAAGTTGATGAAAACAGGATGGAAAAAGAAAGTTGGGACTTGGGAAAGCTTTAGTGGTGGCTTGAATGGTAGTTTAATTCCACGCCTGCTTGTGCTTGCAAAAAATTTTACACGTTCCTTTGATTGGCACATTTTTACCTGCGATTTTCAGAAATCATCCATGAAACTAACGTTTTTACCTTTTTTAGGGAAAATTCAGTCCAATAATCCTAATTGGTCCTGCATCCTGTCACCCTAATTTCTATCATACAAAGGCATAAACCTAAATTCTGTATCCATTTTTTAATGCTAACAAACATTATTTAATGGAACTCTATTCCATAAAACATGTTAGGCCTATGTTTTATGGAATGTTTTTGTTACAAATTTAAAGCTCCAAATCTGGCACATCTAGGTCTAACTGTGTCACTGGCTTGTCTATGTGTGCGTAGTTTGTTCACTAGGTTGATTTTAGTAAGCAACAAGTGGTTGAAAAATCCATGACCCATACACAATCAACCAAAATGTGAAAAAGTGGAAAAATGGGCAAAACATAAGAACAATGAGAAAAATTTAAAATTGGGTCTCTGGAGCCACTAGATAATTTTGTTGCTAATCAAATGAAATTTGTCTATATTGTAGCATGTGTTTTGCAAAATTTATAAACTTTAAAGTACCCCTTTTCTGCCATTTTCTAATTATTTCATGTTTTCTTTCATTTATTCAAAAAATTTCATAGGTGCAAATTGTTTTTTCATTTACCTTTTATGTACCGTAAAATGGGGTAACTTAGACCGGCGGGGTAACTTAGACCACTTTTCGTTTTTTTAACAAAAACCCCCACAACTCAAAATCTATTTGACATAGAAAAATTTTGTCAATGGGCATTAAAGGCCTAATACTGAGGCCACATAACACAATAGAAAGATTTGAAAAGTTTGCATATCTAATAGGTTAAAAAATTAAAAATGTGACCCATGAAAAAAAGCTATTATTTAAAGCCTATCAGAGTACCCCCTCCAATAACCCCCCATTTGCAAACTATGACACTTTCCTCAAGTTTGTCATTTGCATATGTAACTAGAAGAGTTCTACTACAATGCACCAAAACCTGGAGTTATTTGGAGTTATTTTACTAAAAAATATAATTGATTTTACCACCCAGTCTAAGTTACCCCAAGAGCTGGGGTAACAAAGACCATCACTTTTTTTGAAATTACATAAAGACTATGAGAGGCAGGAGCCAGCAATTTATGGCGAGTGAAGCTAGAGTATAGACCTGTATTTTGCATGTTTCAATTCAAGTTTAATTTAGCTAGTAAAAAAATGGCATTTATAAAAAAAAAGTGGTCCAAGTTACCCCATTTTACGGTATGTGTGTGAAATTTCAAAAAGATCGGTTGATAAGTGTAGTAGTTTTTCCGGGACCAAAACAGTCTCCTTAAAGACCAGTAAAATCAGGATAACTTGTCAAATAGACACATAGATGGTGATTAGATGTATTAGCTCTGTATGAACAGGTCAGCTTGGCCTACACAGTTTACATTGATATACGTAGAACCTTGTATGCAAGATTTGAACATTTTTACTTGTTACCTAAATCTTTTGGCTCTAAAATAGACATTTTCAATAATTTGGAATTATGTGGCTTGATGGTGCACTGCATTTTTTAATTTGACTTTGGTTTATAAATAGATGGGATATATATAATACATCTAGCAGGAATTGTGCAGCTTTAAAAAAAACTGACAGAAAAGCCCTAGTCATGGCCTACAAAGTTGATGTATTTCATGCTTGCAAGTATGAAGTTCGAAGCAAATTGTTAAGAACATGCTACAAAATTTAGCGGGCCATATAAAATGTCACCATTCAGTTTCATGATTCACTCTTTTGCCTCCTGCTTTTGAAATGCCCTATTAATTAAACCATGCAAGTCAAATTCATCTAGCATAAATCTTTACCATCTACATAGGGTAGGGTGTGTAAAATATATATTTAGACGTGCAAAATTTTTTCTACTGCAGGGATAAAATTTTAGAAATTGTGGTGCATACATCGTACATCCAATATTGATCCTGCTGAGCTCGTTGCTTGATCCAAAAATGTTTGCCTAATTCTAATTGGAAGGTCCAGTTAACAGTATTTTGATGCAATATGAATTACATACATGTTCACTTACTATTCCTCTTCTAAAATTCAATCTTGCACAAACATAAAAACTCTTATTGTCAGGTCTTGTCATTGTCCATACTAATGGGACATTACCTGCCAAAATTACCTTTGCATCTCTAGGGAAATTAACTGTTTTAAATGCAATACATTTTCATTTTCAACCACATAATTCCTTACAGATTGAATTAAAAATTAATTATTTGCAAAAATTTGCAATTTTGTCTCTACAGCATCACACATTTTTACTGTATCTGAAATTTAGTCATCTGGTTTAAAGAAAAATGTTTGATCTAAAATTTACATACTTTTTGATTGATTATTCCTAATTGATGTCAACTCTGACAGCATGCATAAAGCAATCCAACTGCAATATAAATTTATATCCAACCAGTATTTTCTAAGATTTTGTCTTGTTTTTTTTTTTTCAGACAAATACGGTCCCTATCTTGTAGCTCAGCTGCCATGTCTGTGACTAAGGTCTTTGCTCGCTCCATCTTTGACTCCCGTGGTAACCCCACGGTAGAAGTTGATCTCTACACTGCCAAAGGCCTCTTTAGGGCTGCTGTGCCTTCAGGTGAGACTTGTCCTGTGATTTTGAATTTCCAGTGATCAATTCTGTATCCTATATCTAGTAATCAGTATTTCTATAAAATATCCTCATTCAAACAAACAAAATTTTTTTGAATTTTATTTTGGTCGACTTGTTTATTGAGGTGTTGAACCATAACAAATTGTTGATTTTTTTTTTTCATTTCACCCTATTTGATAGCCAGTAATGAAGAAATATTGGGCCATTTACTCTTGCCACCATTTTAATTAGAAAAAAAAGGAACTTGTCAAACTTGTCAGATGCATTTGAATGTGGAGCAGCAGCATCATTGAACTGTTCCCCAGTATGATTTCAACTTAATTGCTTATACACAATACCTACTCCATACTTGCTTTAAAAGTGATTGAAATATGCCTATATGCTGTATTGAATATGCCTCTTGCTTAGGACTAATACAATTGCAAAAAATTTTTCACTTCTCATTCATCTTGTAACTGCTACCATCCTTTGTCATAACTGAATAAATATAAAGATCAATTTACATATTTTAATGGATTAGTTAATTGTTATTAACACATATTTTAATAAAGTGGATACCTACACATACTTGAAATTTGACCATTTCTAGGAGCATCCACTGGTGTGCATGAGGCCCTGGAGATGCGTGATGGCGACAAGAAGCTCTACCACGGCAAGAGCGTCTTCAATGCTGTCAAGAATGTTAATGATGTCATTGGACCTGAGCTCATCAAGTCTGGCCTTCAGGTTATTTCACTGCAGTCAAAACTCTCTTACTGGATTATTTTGTGCATATAAGTTGTTCATCCATTTTTTCATGCAATTATTTTAGCCACTTGTGTTGAGGCTATGGCATTATTCAGGAATATAAAATAAGTAATCTTTATCTCAGATTTTTCTCGTGGCAATAGATTAGTGGTAAATGGAAATCAGTGTAAATTGCTCCTTCTAAAATGGTGATCATGTCTTCACCTTAATCAGCTTTTCATTCTGCTCTAAATTATACATCAAAATCTGATTCATTTTCGGCCTTGTCTATTTTCATAAGCAAAGTGCAAATTTTCAATTTTGTCATACATAAAAATTTTTTTTTTCTGTATTCAATGGATAAGTTAGTTGATCATTTGAACTGATTCTAACATTCTCTGGTATTGTGGCAAAACTAAACGTGTTCTTTCAATTCAGGTCACCCAGCAAAAGGAGATTGATGAATTCATGATCAAGTTGGATGGGACTGAGAACAAGAGCAAACTTGGTGCCAATGCCATCCTGGGCGTCTCGCTCGCTGTGTGCAAGGCTGGTGCTGCTGAACTCGGCCTGCCTCTCTACAGGTCAGCTTGGCCTACACAGTTTAATTGTCCGCAACATTTTTCGCCAATAAGCTGGAACCTTGTACATTATTAGTTACTCTTATTTTTTTGTTGAGAGCAAGCATGCTTATGAATGAATAGTTACTTGACTGCTTACCTAAATGTCTTTGACCATCTTATTGGCATTAATATCCTATGCTAACTTACCACTTGATAATTTTTTTGGCGCTTCGCCCAGTTAACTGTAATTCTACAAACTCTGCGGAGTTTTATGCAATACCTTTTATATGAATCTTAGTAACAGTTATCTGAATTCAAATGAACGTGCTGCAATCTTCCTTGCCAGGCACCTTGCTAATCTGGCCAACTACAAGGACGTGATCCTGCCTGTGCCTGCCTTCAACGTGATCAACGGCGGCTCTCATGCGGGCAACAAACTCGCCATGCAGGAGTTCATGATCTTGCCTACCGGAGCCTCGTCCTTCACGGAGGCCATGCGCATGGGCACTGAGATCTACCATCACCTCAAGGCCGTCATCAAGTCTAAGTTTGGCTTGGACGCCACGGCAGTTGGTGACGAGGGTGGCTTTGCTCCCAACATTCTTAACAACAAGGATGCTCTTAGCCTGATCACGGTGAGTTCAACAAACACATTGACGTGATTTTTTTACTTTGTCTTGAATTAGATCTTTAATAACGTGGAATTTTAATACGTGTTCGTAACCAAAGCTCTATCATCACTTAGATTCTTTAAATTTAAAGAAATATGGAATCCGTCATAAACATTCATCAGAGTTTTCTTTATAAAAAACGTTCTGGTTTTATATAGGTCGAAAGGCAATTGCTAGAATGAATTGTTGAGGCTTGAAATTCGGCATTGCTGGTTCAATTTATTTTGCGCCCAGTCGTGTTGCATTAAAATTAACTTAATATTGCAGTTGCATAAAATGACTAAACATTTTTCGTTTTCTGCAGGACGCCATTGAGCGCGCCGGATACACGGGCAAGATCGAGATCGGCATGGACGTGGCCGCGTCTGAGTTCTACAAGGGCAACAACATCTACGATCTCGACTTCAAAACTGAGAACAATGACGGCTCGCAGAAGATCTCTGGCGAGCAGCTCTGTGACTTGTACACGAGCTTCTGCAAAGATTTCCCCATCACTTCCATTGAGGATCCCTTCGACCAGGTTTGTTGTCAATTTTTCCATCGACACCGATGTAACTTATCTATCGGAACAATATTTTATTTCTAATTATTTTCTGGAAATTTATATGTATACATACCGGTATACATGCTTACACATGTAGATGTATAAACATATTTTTGCGTTTTTTTTTAATCTGAAGAGAATTTGGTTAATTCTTAATTCTAATGCATTGATCATAATGTATTTGTGTTAATCTCTCTTTTGCGGCAAACGCTGACAACTTCGATCTGAGAAAAAGAACAACCCAGTATCTTCTGCTGCCAGGTGTGATTTCCAACTGAAACGTAGGTTGGCTGTAGATTTAAAGATTATAATCGAGCTCCGATGTTAGTTTTCTGTCGATTTCATTTGTAACCTCGCTTGTGTTGCTGTTTTTTGTCGTGCAGGATGACTGGGACAACTGGACCCGGATGACTGCAGGTACCAACATCCAGATCGTTGGTGATGACCTGACGGTGACCAACCCCAAGCGTATCACCACCGCCGTCGAGAAGAAGGCCTGCAATTGCCTCCTGCTGAAGGTGAACCAAATCGGCTCCGTCACCGAGAGCATCAACGCTCATCTGCTCGCCAAGAGCAACGGATGGGGCACCATGGTCTCCCACAGGTATCATACATAGGGCCTATATTATACAAGTTTTCTTATTTCAGCTCTAGAAACATTTCGATTGTTATTGAAATGATCATATCTTCACACTGTAAGAAACAGTTTTCATTTCAGCATGTTATTAATATATCTGAGCATTTGTTAACGAAATTTGCACCCGTTTGTTTGTCTTCGCCCAGGTACAGCAAGAAAAAAAGGCGGATGGATTTCATGACATTTCTAAATTACATCCGCCTTAGGAAGACCATATTTAAGAAGGCTTGTGTTCAATATCTTCATCCTACCAGATAGCTATATAGCTACGTATGTTTCTTAAACAACAGATACACGATTGCTACTATTTAGTTGCTAAATAAGTTGATCTATCGCAGGTCTGGTGAGACCGAGGACACGTTCATCGCTGATCTGGTGGTCGGCCTGTGCACCGGCCAGATCAAGACCGGCGCCCCATGCCGCTCTGAGCGTCTTGCCAAGTACAACCAAATTCTGCGTATCGAGGAGGAGCTCGGCGCCAGCGCCAAGTATGCCGGCAAGAGCTTCAGGATGCCGTGCTAATTCCTCAATGTTTGACCCAGCAAGCAGTTTTCCTGGTTCTTGTGTGAAGTATGTGGATGACTCAATGGGTTAAAGGGAGTATTTCCGGCAAAGTTCTTTGACCGTTTCTATTTCGAAGAAGCTAGCTAGGAAATTTTAAGTGCTTTTAGAGGTTAAAGAGGAAAAAGATCTGGAGAAACGGATGTGTATTAAAACGGTAGAATTGAAGGTTTTTTTCCCGGTAATTGGTCATTCTATGAGTCGAATAGCTACGCATTTGGGTAGTAAATCGGGGGCCTTCTTGTCAATGCAGGTATGCATTGCAGTTTAGCGTGGCCAGGTTCTGCTTGCTGGAGGAACAGATACTTGTTGATATCGTTGTGCATGTTCATCGTAAAATGATTCTTGTGAGGTAGTTATAACCTCTTCACTCTTCAGCTTATACTTTTAGCTGGCTAGTCTTCTCCGTATGGCAGTCATTCCTCCATAAGATGGTTTTGTTAGTGCAATGTTTCGCTTTACTCCTCTGATTTGCAATCCACAAATTACCATTATTCTTTTACGCTGAAAGGTTAATAACAGACCGGAGAGAGGTGATTAACATTGAACTATAATACTTTAAGTGAACAATATTATATGAAAGTGAAATTATTCAAAATTTTCGCCAAGCGAAATCTAACCGTAGCTGCAGATATTGGCATAAGCCTATATAACCGTAGCTGCACAGATACTGGAATAAGCTGTTATGGTTTGATTATGTAACTAGGTACATCCCATCACTCTTAAACCGTAAGTCAAAAGGTTAAGAAACTCGATCGTTTAATTATCCCTTCTTCTATTGAAATACGTTACTAAGTGCACAACTGTGTACATTTGTAAAGAGAAAAGTACTGATTTGCTGTAAGTAACATATGTATGCATATCTAACGAATTTAGACCGCTTCGTTCTCACATTCATGCATCCATATCATATCCATCCACGCATTTCACTCAAACGTAAGCTGAAGAACAAATTGCAATGGAATATGTACCAGCCTCTACTGCACATCTAAAATGATGAAACTAGAATTGGAAATTATAAAAATTCCATGCTGGAAAAGATTTTTGTGAGCTATCCAGATTTGACATTTTCGAATGATTCTTTTGAAATGCTATATTGCACCATTGAATATGTTGAATAAGTAACAGCCGCGAAACTGTAAGGATTATGGAACCAAACGATAACAGAACAGGCATGTTATTGAATAGTTGGCGGATGATTTTGCCAAGTTCAAAAGAAGGCCACTACATATGCCCTTGATAATTATTGCATGGGCTGTTCGAGAACGGGTCGGTAGCTGCCAAGTGACATGAAAACTTTATTCGGTCAAAGATGATAATAGTAATTATTAGGTAGCATTCGAGCACCAATCAATTCACGAAACTTTATTCCTCATAAGAAAGAGATAGTCTAAAATGGCAAGTCCGTTGGGGTGGCTAGAAATATGTAAAAGTGAAAACCAAGATTTCTACCCACAGGCAAATATGCATCAATAAGTAGCTGGAGGATTGCCCGCAGTAAGTAGGGAACGCCGCAACTCAAGAATGGTGCAATATTTCCGGTAGCATAAATAAACTCGATCATCCTAATTATAACTGGCTGATGAGAGATTTGTCAAAAATCGTTAATGTACAGCTCGCTGAAGCAAAATCTTACAAAACGCTTTCTATCACATAGTATCACTTTAATATAAAATTATATTCCCATTAAAAATACAACGCAACTTATAAATTGATTTAGGGATAGGCATCTTTTCCATATTAGACCGTTTTTAGCGATATCTGTTGCAAATGCGATGAAATATCCAACTGGCGACAATTTGAACAACTCATTCACCATTGCAGCTATAAATTAGCAACATCCATAATAGTACTAGAAAAAAATATAACTCACTGCAGTGAGTGACAAGGGCACATTTTCTCGTCGACGAAAACGCGAGTCACGCACAGACAGACGGACATGGCGAGCACAGTAGCGCTTTTTTCCATAAATGAGAAAATGCGCTAAAAAGAACAGCTTTAGAAAATCATCGTGCACAAATGCTGGTTTTAATATTCATTTATAAATGTTTGCATGCCGATCAAATATAATTTATAGAAAAGAATGACACTTCCTTTATTATACGGTTTGCCAAATGTTATCCAGCCCATTCTATCAGGAACTTAACTTACAAATAGCATTTCTAGGCAGAAACTTACCAGAAGTATAAGACGATTTAATAGACTGCAATATTTTCAGCTGATCTAAGTGCTGAGATTTTGCATTGATCTTAAAATTAAAAAGGAGTCATGGTCACCTTTAAATTCTCGAACGATTCATAAATATATGCTCGAACGTTGAAGAGCGTAAGAAGTTAGGCAAATGATAGTGACAATGCTGTGCATGAGGATAAAACTTAGGAATTATTTGTGACTCGAACGAATGACATGCAGTAAATGACTAGTACATCAAAAATCTATCACTGAGTAAATCGATTGCACTAAAAGCCCTTCATGGCCAACTAAACTAATATAAGAGGTAAAACTCCTACGAAAACCATGGTTTTCTAAAAACCAAGTTTTTAGATAGTAGAACCGAGACGAATAAATAAAAAATATGGGTAAATATATCAAGTCATCAGCAAAAGGTCGATGTTTTAACTACTTTTATCAGTAGAATAGAAAATGCGCATGATAAAACATTACTCGGTCATGTTTAAGACACTATCTATCCATTGCACATGTATCAGTCAAATACGACATTTTAAAACGCGGAGTACAGAACAAGAATGTTAAATCGGGTCACATAAAAATAGAGTTCTAGAGCACTAAGTGAGCGGCAGTGAGCGCTGCCATGACCACCACAAGCGCTCCTGGAATGCTCACGTTCGTTGAGAACAAAATCCAGGTTTTCTCGAAGACTTCTTTTATGTGCTCCCCGAGATAACTACTCAATATACTCTGCGCATCAATTACATAGTTTTTGAAATAGCTTTCTTTCTTCAATGCATCTGAAAGGAGGTTTGGAATGCCTTGTAGTATACCTGAAACTACAGTACACGACGAAGACAAGCCAATTATAATAGAGGTAAGAGCGCCTGTAACGTTATCGATTGCTGCTGAAAATATATCAAAGAGCGTGTATACTGCAAATGAAATCGCGTAGTAGACCTGAGTGGAGAGAGCAGATACAATGAAACCGACAGCACCCACCAGGCCACTCACGTAACTCATGCTGCTGAAGCCACTTGTGAAAATTGGACCGATGTTTGAGATTGAAGAACGGACGAGACGGCCCAGACTCTCAGCGCCACTCGAGGCGTCCTTCACCTCCTTAGCAGCTGACTGCTCTGCGGCCCTGAACCCCCAGCACGGCGTCACTTTGAGCATCTGCACGATGAGGGCATCCAGGATATTGGCCGGGGTCGGGTCGGAGCACTTCTCAGCCTCTTGTACGACACACGAGTGCATCGCATTCAGTTTCCTATGACATGGAACGGAAATTTAAAATATTGAATTAAGTAGAAAATTAGTTAATATTAGACTTTAAGATGACACACTGAGGTTGTTTTTCAAGAAGTTGCTAAAACAATGATGTAAGCTCCAAGCTTAATATCAGACTAAGATTTTTTCATCAAAGCACTTATATTTAGCCATATTAATTAAAGATATAAAGACTTAATAAATGGGATATTTTCAAAGCATAAAAAGGGCAGCTTATCGTAACTTGATTTTAAGCATTAAATGAGTTAGGATTATCAGAATTTGAATCAAAATCGCCCCTCATGCCCGCTCTTCACTGCCACTCGTACTTACTGATTTCTTGACGGGACTAAACAATGCAGCTTTTTAGCACATTTTCTCATTTATGGAAAAAATGCACTATTGTGCTCGCCATGTTCGTCTGTCTGTCTGTCCGTGACCTCAAGTTTTCGTCGACGAGAAAATGCGCTCTCTGTCACTCACTGCAGTGAGTACTGAGTTATATATATATTTTTTTTGTTTGAATGTCCATCCTGGTAATGGCAACTAGGGCGGTGGCGGGTGGAAGGTTATTTACTGCTACTGTCGTTGTTGTAATTCCCATCCTGACAGTGGCGACATAGGAGGGAGATTGAGGGCAGTGAGTTATTGCTACCGTTGCTGTTGTAGTTACCATCTTGCTAGTGGCCACAAGGGATGTGAGTGAATTATTGCTGCTGTTGCAGTAATTACCCGTCCTGGTAGAAGCATATTAATTATCGCTACTCACTCGCACTGCTGTTCGTTGATGACGATGTGGTCAAGGCTGAGGGAGTCAGGGTCATCAATGGAGGTCTTGACGCTGGGCACGCGATCCTCGATGCAGGTGCGTATGCCATCCTTGTGCTCCCTCACGCACTCCACCCCCTGCTCCGCCATGAACACTGCCACCAAAATATCATACATCATCAAAATATATAATAAATATACACAATACCTGAATATTTAGCTTTGAAAAGATAATGTTCTGCACTAAATTTAATAATTAGATGACACAAAATGGAGAAAGATTCATATATCCAAAGCCAATGTATTCATCATGCAGTAAACGAGCCACACAACTTAGCTAGAAAATCTCAAGAATTAAACTGGCATTCGAAATTTAATTCCCCACACAATTTAGAAAGCTTACACATGAGAAAAATATTTGTAATGTTTATAATGCAATTTGCCACACATTATTGACAATGAGCTACATTTATGAAGTAATAAATTATTTTCGCAAATAGAAGAGATTTTTAGAAATTAAATGCTTATTATTACAAGCAATTCTGTCGCCATCGTCATGACAAGTGAAGTTGATTGCAGCATCAACGGCTCGACGTGTGACGTTGACGTCAACAAGCTGCTGGGCAGTCATGCACGTCTGGAACGTCGTCAGCATCGTGTCCACGCAGTACAAGATGTCGTCCCGGTATCTGACCAACAATGAACTCAATTAAATTGATGAACAGCAGACAGAAACTTGGCAATAACTCCACAAGTGGCGTGGCATCAATTTCGATACATAGATGAATGTAAAATTGTATATCATGAGTAACAGAAAAGGAAAACATATTTCACAGTCAAGCATCAGGTAAGAAAATCTAAAGGGCTTTGATCAACAAAACATTGTATTGTAAAATGAGCTTCATGTAAAGGTATAGGTAACTACTTAAGTAACCAAGTCTCTCAAAATATATAACAGATTTGTGACAATACGTTGAAGTAAGTTATTTCATCTGATTATTCAATGTGCTATTCACTATCAACTTTTGCAATTGAGGAGCATGAGACAAAAACTACAGTGCATTCTTGAATCTGAGGCTTTCAGATGTTATCAGTGAATCATTTAGGCCAACAAGCACTACTACCACCTTAGTAATTGCTCCAAAAAATCAAAATCAGCTCAACTTTGAACAAGATTTCAAAGGATATTGTACATTTTTTCTACTATATGATCCAATTATTTGGCATAATATCCATCAGACTGACCCACAATATTTTTTGAAGACGCGATCCAAGTTGCCACGAGCCATGCTGCGGTTCACTTCAATCTGCAGTTTGTCAAGTTTGACGTACTGCAAGACACACTCCATCAGCTGACCAGGAGCATCCTGGGACAAATTACTATAATAAAATACACAAATAGGTTTATAATTGCAATACTGCAATCAAATATTACATACATAAGTTCATAACTGTGTTTATGATCACATTATTTTACAGCAATTAATTAAGTAAAAAAACCATAATATACATGTCACATAGGTATCCTGCTAGGACACCATAAAGTCATTATTAACCCTTTCACGGGTAAGTTACCATATATGATCACTTGAAATCGTGTCACAAAAAGCCTCACCACGGCTTCCCGTTTGTTTTTGAGGCATCCTTATAATGCCTCAGTCAATCACTAATTATCTGACCATCATTCTATCTACTGTATAGCATCACCAACTGCAGAGTCCACAAATTGAAATATGAGCATTTAAATGAAAGTTTTGACTCGGACAATGGAATCGACGCTCTTTCCGCATTTTCTTCAAAAGGTGGAAGTATCAATACATATATTTATTTATTTTGGCAACTTGATTAAATTCAATTAAATTAAATTTTTATGTTTCTAATTTTTCATTTGCATAAACTGAATTTTAATTATAAAGAAAAATTTTGTGTTTTGATTGCATTTATTGAATTCTTTAAGTGCGATTTAAACCTTCAATAGGCAAAATTTGCAAAAATTCATAGAAATAAATATATTGTTTATTACTTCTTACTTTCTTGAAATGGTTTCTGAAATTTTAATTTCTGGATATTTCAATGCTTGCCCGCTAAAGGGTTAATGATCCTGTTCAAACTCCCACTGGTTATTTTATCTTAATTTTTGTGAGTGTTCTGCTTCATTGCAAGTTGAAAAATTTATATTATTGGTCCTAAGGTATTATTGCTAACAAAATCTTAAATAAGGGTCTTGTAGGTACTGGATGGATCCCTCATGGTATGCAATAATCTTTCCTGGATTATTTTGCAATATTTTTGACACTTTCCTTGATACTTAAAAAATATTTCTTTGACATATAGTGATGATCTGATTAGGTAGGTACATTTAGATGCTGGATGAGATAGACACAGCAAACTTGACCATTTCTTGGAGGAATCAGATGAACTTATCACTCAAGCAGATGTGACAAATCTCAAGACAATCTTGGCATGAATGATGAAGAATGTGACAATGCTTGAAGACATGTATATATTTAATGCAAAATCTGACAAAAAAATAATAAGTAAGGTGATGAATAAAAATAACATATTTATTTAAAATAATGTTGCTAGAAATTCCCAATTCCATTTTTTCCAGAAAATATATACCTATTGATTGATATCGTGAATGGGATTGTGCAGTATATACCGCCAAATGGGGTAATAAGGGACAGTTTTGAGCATTTTTAATTAATAACTTCTTACCATGAAACATTTCACAACAAGCATAACTGGAAACACCGCCCTGAAGTTGAAATAATTATGGGTACCGTAGCGTGCGGACTTGGTGGTGACTTCCGTATTGGCTTTAACACAAGGGCTAAGAGTTGCTCTTTGGTCCATCTCTAAATTCCATTGCATTGGAGAGATGAGGAGTGAACACGAGGAACTTTTTGTGGTATACCCTATTTGTGATCTTCAGGCTATACACAAATTCCACTGTGCGGGAATGGCTTTTTGCTCTGTGTATTTTGTGTTGCCATTCCTTCTCTCATATATTTCTCCCTAATCTCTTGTGTTCTTCTCGTTCCAGATCACCAATGATTATATATAGCCTGTGCACAAATTGTTTGCTAGATTGTCTTCTCAATAGCCTGACAGGGCACAATTTAATTATGATTCATAATTGGTGCTAGTATTGTGTTGTCACCTGCTGTGATGTTTTGTGCAACCCGCTGCTCCATCTGTGATGCTTGAGGGCCAGTGATTTCTTGGGCTGTGTTTCCCAGTGGTTCCCTGTTAATCCAGCATGATACCTAAACCTAAGGCTGAAATCATAAGTGATATCTCTGGTGGTTCTCAATGGTGTTGAAAATTTGCGTCTTTACCAAGTGTGTGCTACCATAGCTGTGGTTATCTGAGTGTCTGGCCAAAGCAAGTATTCAGTCTCATTGCTGTGTCCGTAATTCACAAGTTATGGGAGCTGTGAATTGGTGAACCCAGTTCCTTACCTGTGCTTCAGCCATGAGGATGGACAGGATACCAAGAAGAGAAGAGTCCTTTGCTCAAGGACTGGCCGTGGATCCTGGAAGTCTCCAGAGCATGTGAACTGTTTTGTGAGCCTTTTGTTGTATAGCATCTTCACTGTTCCCCTTTATAACGTTTTACTGATCATCAATGCATTATAGGACTTAGGGTTATTTAAATTTCATTTTTTATACCTAGTGTTTCATCCATTTTCATGCCTGTGTATTTATCATCCATTAAACTAACCCCTCATCATCATATATCATTCAACTGTATATAATTTGAGCCAACTTGTTTTAGAGTTCATCTGGTTGATTGGTCTCATGTTTGATTTTTCTTGCTGTTAGGTTGTTTTAAATAGTTTTCCCACATGATAAAAGCCAATACTATATTGGTCATACTGGGCCTTTGGAGGAGGTTAGGAGTGCCCCTAACACCACTGTACAAGGCACACAATTTATTATTCACAATAAGTCCAGAAGCTTTGGGAGACAGGATCTCAACTTCAGGGATTAAAACAGTTTAAAACCACAGAAGCGGACAGCAAGGGTACAGGTATGAACAGCCCCATGTTGCCAACAACCAATGCAATGATCAAGGGTACAAGCCCTACTACCGTACACTGCCAAGAACACGGAAACGGACAGTAAGGGTACAGGTACAAGCTGCACCACGATGCCAACAACCAATGCAATGATCAGGGGTACAAGCCCTAATTTGCAGCCAAGAACACAGAAACGGACAGCAAGGTTACAGGTACGAGCTGCACCACAATCCTGATAACCAATGCAATGATCAAAGGTACCACCTTATGAGTTTAACCTTTTGACATGACTACATGTTAAAGGCAACTTCCTATCAAACATCTACTTCTAAGATGTCTAGCTTGTTCACACGAGATGGCAACATAGCCGTCTTCACCTTAACGAAGGTATCCTAGATTGACAGCACCTATTTACGAACAACAGCAAACCATTACAATAAAAAAATCATTTGGCAAAATAATTGAACATGAAAGCAAATAAATCATAGGTCAAGTAATAATTTACAATTAAGTTAACATATCATAGAAATAAGTCTAAACGTGGTTGAGGCTAGCAGATGAGAAGTGGCTCTTAGCAGATAATTGCAATGCAACACTCCCAACAAATAATAAGTCTACCTTAAAAAAAATAAGTCAACACATAAGTTGAAACTCTAAGGTAAAATCAGAAGTGAAACAATGTTCTGAAAAAAAAAATAATCCACAAAAATTGTGTTCCGTCACATAAGTTAGGGCTTATTTTAAAGGCCTTTGCAAGGGCTATCATATGGCATCTCTGAAAAAATTCATATGCTATTTGTAAGGAGCCAGACGCAAAATAAAAGTATCCCAAATTACCCCAGGAAATGGGGTAATCCAGGACACTTGAAATAAAACTTAATTTTAAAAGTTTGAAGCACGCAGAGTGTACTCATCCATTACTAACAGACTAACAGTACTCTGAAATCCTCCTCTTCCTTTGTAGATTATGTAAATGTAGAATAAATGACATTTTCTGTAATTTTAACTAGTTTTTCCTCATAGACATATTACCATATCCAAACATTACATATTATTGATGTGATATTACCATATCCATGGACATACCATTGAGCATTGACAACAACCCTGTCCACTACAAGCTTCATATCAGTGCAGCCATGTAGCATTTCATTTGTATCTAAGCTTACAGGATGGCTTGTAATTTTATAGTACCATATTAATTGGGTCAAGTGAAAAAAAATACTAAAAAAAAAAAGAATTATACAAATGTATCAGAATTAGAAGGCAATATTTTAGTGACAACCATCACATTTTTTTGTAGAAATAAATCATAGTTTAGGTTAATTACTTTTCATTCTATGTCAAGTGAATTTTCTTTCACTGAGCAAGGTAAATGTAATCAAAACTTTTTGTTGCAAAACTTTTTATTGTTGACTGATTTTTTTTTTTTTTTGTTGACTGGAGCCTTTGCTAATCAAAAGTCTCCTCAAAGGCGTTTTTAGGGGTTTAGGGGTGCCCTTTATTACCTTGGGGAGAAGGGGGGAGGGTGCGTCTTCCTTATTACCCTTTCTTGAGGAGATGGCTATCATCTTTTAATGAGATACTCAAGTTCTGTCAATCACATTTTTAAGCCAACACCTGTGTGCAACTTTTATATAAGTAAAATGTTTTAATATGGCAAATATTTTTTTTGCTACAGATTTTGGCAGAGGTACCATTCCAAATCCAAAATCTCACTTTTCACACTTTTCAGGAATTTTTTAGAGGTAGTAAATGTATAAATTCTTAACTTACTTTATGCTACATAGATAGTATTAAAAAGTTTGGACTTTACACAATTATTTTTAGTTTTTCGATATTGTGATTAGTTTTGCTGCTACAACATTTTGGTATTACTTTAGATTAAGTGCATCCAAAAAAAGGGTGTTTTTTGTTTAATTATATGTTTTTTGGTGTGTAGATAAAGAATCTGAAATCCGTTTTTGGCGTTTGGCATCAGAAAACCAATTTTTATATATGCCGATTTTCATATATTTTCTAAGATAAATGCAAGTTAAATCTTGGGCCCAATATCCGTGGATTTATAGTCAAATGGGTTAAGACAGGATCACAGCCTTCATGGGGTAAGAAAGGACAGGCCCATGGCATGCATTCTGATTGCACTGAATTTAATTTGACGGAAGAATATGTTAGAGCAATCATTGCATGTCATTTCAGTGTTTGTTTCAACCCTCTTCTACAAATAATGAATTTTTGGTTAATTTTCAAAGAAAACCTATGTAAAGAAGGGTCACAAAATAGTTAACCCTATTTGGGAAATAAGCTGTGTCTGATTACAAAAAAATTTTTTGGCCAGGTTTGTGGATGTAGGCAAGTAACCTCAAGTAACATGCAACTTTTGAGACATACTAGGCATTCCTACCTGCTATCATCACTGCCTGACAACTATTCTAAAATGGGATAAAAAAGGACCAGACATGGGGTAAGACAGGACCACTAAATGATCCTGTTTAACCCCCCAAATGGTCCTATCTTACTCCACAAATGGTCCTGTCTTACCCCACAAATGGTCCTATCTTACCCCACAAATGGTCCTGTCTTACCCCACAAATGGTCCTGTCTTACCCCACAAATGGTCCTCTTTTACCCAATTATTTATCAAAAATAGCTTTTAAATGAATATATTATTGTACATAAGTATACATGGAGTATTTTGGTCAAAATTTTCATCTTTTGCTTAAAATAACCATTCTAACTTGTTAGCTTTTTTAATTAGATAAATTTAGCATACTATTGTGAATTGCATTATGGGGATGGAGAAAATAGGGATGTCTCTTCCCATTAGTGAGCTGCAGAACAATGTGCAAGAGTGTTTGGGGGAAAAATCACTGTGTGAAACATAAAAAATAATTATTATCACAATTTTGTGAGAGGGCATGGGATATGTTTGAAGAAGTGCACCACAAATGCAGTTAGTAAGAAAACACATGACATCTGACTCTTAAGTTATTATCCATTGGTTTTATTACCAATTTGATAAATTTTCAGACAGTGACACTAATGGAATATACATGTAGCATTTGGCAGTGCTCTACAACGAATCAAAGCCAACCTACTATTTCTATGCTTAATGAAATTTTCTCAATGCAAAAACTCCAATGTGACTGATATTAGGGTTGACTTCCTGCAACACAAAACAGACACAAGTGGTTGTTTAATCAAATAATGTGTTTCTAGATGTATAATATTGAATATCAGATTTATATTTTTACTAAAAACCTTGTAACAGAAGAATTACCTGTTGGTCCTTTCTTACCCCAGCCTGGTCCAATCTTACCCCAATGGGGTAAGATGGGATAAGCTCACTTTTTTTTTATCTGTACAGAAAACTGTGTTGTATGCAAAAAGTCTGAGTTGTAGCTTTGAAGCCCATTGCATAACCACACCTTGTGATAAGTTTAGGATTTTTTAGTTATTCATGGTATAGATGCTACATGCCTGTTAGTGATTTCGGTCCTGTCTTACCCCATCTGACTATATAGCGTTTTTAACTTAGCCTCGGTGACCCATATACTCTTGCAACCACGACATTGCAGGCAACCATGACATTGCAACCACGGTTAGGTTAGGTTGTTTTTTTGCCGATTTTGCCTATTTTTGCTTTGGGGAAAAAAATTGGTTTTCCGATGCCGACCTCCAAAAACGGATTTCAGATTCTTTATCTACACTCCAAAAAAATATAATTAAACAAAAAACACCCTTTTTTTGGATGCATTTAATCTAAAGTATTACCCAACATTTCTATGAAATGTGGTGCAACTTTCCCAACTTACCCCCCCCCATCCCTTATTATCCCTGTTTGACAGTAGCAAGGATACTAATTTACTATAGATAAGAATTGAACCTGATACAGTTCTGGAGAAATATGTATCCAGAAACTTGACTCATTCTAAATGGGCATTGAAGCACAAATAAAAATTGTTTGTACTTACTTCAATTTCTTTAAGAACAGCTGGACCATGTTCTTCACGGCATTTGTCCTTCCAGTCCCTGATCTGGCTTATATCTTCAGGCTTTTTAATGTTTTTTAAACGGTCCAGTTCAGTTTCATCCTTCAGATCATTGATGGCTGATGAAAAGGTAGGTTTTCCACTAGAAGAATCCATGTTGGAAGCATGGCATCTTTCTCCTATGATTGAAAAATAATGAGAATGGATTATTGATCAAAATTGAAACTGAAAGGGCTAGACATCAAGACAAGAGATATTAATGATTGATATATATTAGAAGCAAGAAGCATTATGTCTCATTCACAGAATATTTACCAGCATATATTATTTAAAATGTAATACTGTAAAATGGGGTAACTTTGACCACTTTTTTTTCATAATGATGCCATTTTTTTACTAGATAAGTTGAACTTAAATTGAAACATGCAAAATACAGGTCTATACTCTAGCTTTACTCACCATAAATTGAACTTCCTTTATACTACATAGATAGGAAAAATGTTGTTGTTTAGGCCACTATATTTAGTTTAGCAATATTCCAATTAGTTTCGCTACTATGACTGTTTTACGACGTGTCAGAGGTGCGTCCCGAGTTGCCCCGGTTGACGGAACTCTTCTAGTTACATATACAAAAAAAAACAAATTTTAGGAAAGTGTCATAGTTTGCAAATAGGGGGCAATGGGCAAAATGTGACCACCTAATGGCAGCTGTGATGGGGTAACATTGACCGGTTTGGAAATTAAGTTAAAATTACCATATATAAGACTCTATAGAGTCTGAAACATAAAGAAAAAAACATTAATAGGTGTATCAAACATAAAATATGTTATATAGGTACCTATGGTAATTTTAACTTAATTTCCAAGTTGGTCAATGTTACCCTGTCACAGCTGCCATTAGGTGGTCAAAGTTACCCCATTGGGGGGCGGCACCCCCATTTGCAAACTATGACACTTTCCTAAAATTTGTCTTTTGCATATGTAACTAGAAGAGTTCTACTACAATGCATCAAAACCTGGAGTTATTTTACCAAAAAAATAAAAAAATTGGAGGGGGTACTCCGACAGGCTTTAAATAATAGCTCTTGTTTGTGGGTTACATTATTAATTTTTTAACCTATTAGATATGCAAACTTTTTAAATCTTTCTATTGTGTTACATAGCCTCAGTATTCCACTGTGCAGAGAGTGGATGAATATTGCAAGATCTTTGGCAACGCTTCAGTAGCCAAATTTTCGCCTTCAGAATATCTTACCGACACATTTAGATTGAAATTCTTGCATTTAATATATTTCTCAGTCTTTGGCCAACTATTTAGAAAAAAGTAAGGTTTCCGGTACGTTGGATGGATTACGATGCAGCGAAGCTTGTCCAGAAATCAGTTGCGATGAGTTCCCGCAAAAAAATGTAAACAACGTTTTTCAATTGCGTAGTTTCGGTCACATTAGATTAGAGCGGTCAGACTGCTTTATTAAATGTTCAGTTGACACTTGCTGCACAATCAGACTGTTGTTAGGGTAAAATTAGTTATTTGGGGTAACACGTGCATGCAACCTTGTAAATAAGTTCGTGGCTTGTAAATAGTTCGTCATTACTCAGCGTAAATGGCTTTTCATTAAAAATTACCCGGCGACGCATCTTAAAAATGGTCGGAGACACTTTGGGCTTAAAAACCCATATATTGGCGACGCTGTTTCCATCTTCTGCGCCCTGGTCAGTATTAGGCCTTTGATGGCCATTGACAAACTTTTTCAATGTCAAATCATTTTTGAGTTTTGGGGGTTTTTGTTGAAAAAAAACCAAAAGTGGTCAAAGTTACCCCGCCAGTCAAAGTGACCCCATTTTACGGTATGTAAGTTAAGAATAGCCATTGAATATTTTAAATTTAATGTTCAAGTAACTAAACCCACCAGTAGCCAGTTTGTCAACAGGGTGTAGAAAAAAATGTGACATTGTTATTTGTTATGATTGTAAAATAAATGTAATAGCCAGGCTGTAGAGTAGGGCCTTTCAGCTCGAGATATTGGCCTCTTTTCAAGCTCTCCATCAGCCACATCGACCTTAAATTGGCGTCCATGGCCGATCATAAACTATGGCTCATGCAGCCATGACCGATCATAAACTATAGATTGCTCGATCAGCCCCGCTGTCACCGCGCCCATCTTCAGCTCGTTTGATTGCTTGTATCTGTCACCCAATCACAATGTGCATACGTCTGGCAAGCCCAATGCTACTGCTGAAAAAACTTGTAAATCTATTGTGTTCTAACGTGATCTATTGCGTTCTAACGTGATCTATTGCGTTCTACCGCGATCTATTGCGTTCTAACGCAATCTATTGTGTTCTAACGCAATCTATTTTGTTCTAACGTGTTCTATTGTTTTCTAATGTGATCTATTGTGTTCTAACAGGATTTATTGCGTTCTACCGCAATCTATAGCGTTCTAACACGATCTATTGTGTTGTTACCGGGGGTAATCTTAGGGCAGACCAAGCTCATGTGTTTCAGCTCACAAATGTCTATTATCGATTTCATTTATTTATTGTTTTAACTTATTAGAAACATGGTTATTATTTGTTGTCTTTCATGCTTATCATGCAACCTAATATTATTTCATGCATTTGTGTCTAATGTCGCCCTATGTTTTTTTGTCTCGTTTCAGGTATTGAACGACCCCATAAACCTAAATTAATGCATGCACAAGAAATTTATCTTGAGTTATCAGACAATCCTGAAACTCGCACCGCCATCACCAGTTGGTGAGTTGGCTGTTTAGTCTGCACTTTAATTATCAATTATTTAATTATCAATTATGTCTAATGTACATATTTTAGGCTAATTGTTTTATGCATTTTGGTTCTTATTCATTCTATTGTCATTTATTGTTACAATGGTTCTTCTCATATCTGTCAGCTTGATTAATTTTTAGTGCGATGCTTGTGCTTGCAATAATTACTTTGTTTTCTTAAATCATTTTTGCACTTGAAAGATCTGCACTTGCATTTGCTCTTGACTGTTTTAACTCTATAATATATTCCTTAATTCACTCCTATTTTGTTGTTCATGTTTAAAGTCAAATTAATTCACTAATCACTAAATTCCCTCACATAGCAAATAAATTATTATGTCTCTTATTGCATGTATATTTATGTTCATTTGTTTGTTTCAGTTGCTGTGTGTTTCACTCCACCCATTGTTTCATTCCATAGTTTCATGTTTACGGTCTTAAGTTTATTTGAATGGTTATCGATTCGGTTATGATTATGAGTTTGGCAAACTATTTCTTATTGTATAAAATTTTAACATATTGGCTTTCCTTTTATTAAATGAAAATACATACTCAAATAAAAGCAAATCCCGAAGTAATTCATTAATTCCTGTTTTCTGAGACGAGCACTAAAAGAGTAATTTTCAGTAAGTGAACAACGAGTTTGTTCCACCCGCTAGTGCGCCCGGTTACAGTGTTCTAACGCAATCTGTTGTGTTCTAACGTGATCTATAGTGTTCTAACGTGATCTATTGCGTTCTAACGCAATCTATTGTGTTCTAACGCAATGTATTGTGTTCTAACGTGTTCTATTGTATTCGAATGTGATCTATTGCGTGCTAACGCGATCTATTGCGTTCTAACGCGATATATTACGTTCTAACGCGATATATTGCGTTCTAATGCGATTTATATTGCGTTCTTACTTGATCTATTGCATTTTAACGCGATCTATTACATTCTAACAAGATCTATTGCATTTTAGCACGATTTATTGCATTTAAATGCAATCTATTGCATTTAACGCAATCTATTGCATTCCATCGCGGTCTATTGTGTTCTAACGCAATCTATTATATTCTGACGAGATCTATTGTATTTTAGCGCGATTTATTGCATTTAAATGCAATCTATTGCATTTAACGCAATCTATTGCATTCCATCGCGGTCTATTGTGTTCTAACGCAATCTATTGCGTTCTAACGCAATCTATTGCATTCTAATGCAATCTATTGCGTTCTAATGCAATCTATTGCGTTCTAACGCAATCTATTGCGTTCTAAACGCGATCTATTGCGTTCTAAACGCGATCTATTGCGTTCTAACGCGATCTATTGCGTTCTAACACGATCTATAGCGTTCTAACACGATCTATTGCGTTCTAACATGATCTATTGCATTCTAATGCAATGTATTGCATTCTAACGCAATTTATAGCGTTCTAACGCAATCTATAGCGTTCTAACGCGATCTATAGCGTTATAACGCGATCTATAGCGTTCTAAAGCGATCTATAGCGTTCTAACGCGATCTATTGCACTCTAAAGCAATTTAATGTAACCCAAGGCAATCTAATGTAGCCTGAGGCAATCTAATGTAACCTAATACATTCTAATGCACAATTTAATGCATTCTAATTCAATCTAATGCATTCTAATTCAATCTAATATAAACTAATATAATCTAATGCATTCAAATTCAAACTGACACTATCTACTGCAATCTAAAGCATTCTAATGCAATCTTAAGTACCATCAACCGGGGCAACTCGGGACTGGCGGGGCAACTCGGGACGCACCTCTGACACGTCGTAAAACAGTCATAGTAGCGAAACTAAATGGAATATTGCTAAACTAAATATAGTGGCCTAAACAACAACATTTTTCCTATCTATGTAGTATAAAGGAAGTCGAAGAATACGACATTTACTAGCTTTGAAAAATTCCTGAAAAAAATGCTGAAAAATGCTATTTTGAAAAGTTACTTCTGCTAAGGTCTGTAGCAAAAAAAATATTTGCTGTATTAAAAAATTTTACTTACATAAAAGTTGCACCCAGGTGTCGGCTTGAAAACGTAATTGACAGATTTTGCCTATCTCATTACAAAAAAAAATGGCGGCCATTTCCGCACGGCGGGGCTACTCGGGACACCCCCCCGGGGCTATTCAGGACACCCCAGAAAGCACATTTACAGTAGAACCTCAGTTAGCAAAGGCTCCAGTTAAGAAAAAAATTGATTAAAAACAAAGAATATTGATTACATTTACCTCGCTGAGCGAAAAAAAAAGTTCACTTATCGTCTCACAAATTACAAGCCGTCCTGTAAGCTTACAGATACAGAAAAAATGCTATGATGCTGCTGATATGAAGCTTGCAGTGGACAAAATTGTTGTAAATGCTCAATAGC